TTAGATCAATGGAGTTTTCATAAGTTGTAAGTACTGGCTGCAAAAGCTTTACAAAAACAATGTAAAATTTTCATAGATTTCTTTTTGGCTCCAGCTCAGACACTAATCAACTGCAGAAATTTGCTGACTGTTTCTCTGTTATAAGGATCTCAAAAGAGTTCAAAACGGACAATGGTCCGTCCTTCTGATGATCTAAAATTTTATCTTATTGTCAACTTTAAAATGGTCATGTCTCTCATGGTTATAAGGAATGCCCTATAACCCCAAGGACAAGCCATAATGGAACAAGCTTATTTCTTACTCAAAACACAAATACATAAACAAAAAAGGGGGGGGGGAACTGACTGCACAGTAGCAACTTGTCAAAGGAACTTACACTTTCAATTTTCAAAATTGTTTTTCTCAGTCTTTCCCCTGACACCTATAAAAATTAATGTCACAAAAAGCAAGGAGTTTTATCCAAACCCATGATTTTATATGAATTCTCTAGGACCTAACTCGTGTTTGGGTACTATTCCCTTTATAACTTGAGGCTGAGGGTTCACATCTTGTGCTTTCCTCTACAGGCCTTCTCTGGGTTACAAAAGGACTGTGAAAGTCACACCACGAACTGGAATCAGGAGACAACAACCTGTAACAAAAGAAGGACACTTGCCTGACTTTCACCCACATGTAAGCAGCATGTCACTTCTAATTCTCACCCTTTCCCCAAGTCACTCTCATTACAATGCTACTTTATCTCCTGGCTTTAGCTCTAAAGCAAGCCCATGCATGCCTGGATTCCAGTTCATCTGGCTGGCCCATGACATGGAGGATCTGCTTCAGAACAACTTAATTATTCCCTTGGACAAGATTCATTGGAATGATTATTGCAGCTGTCCGAGTTGCCACAGTTAGAGCTACAACTGCTAAAGTATGATTAACTCAGACCATCCAAACTAAAGCAACTGTAAATTCCTATCTTCAAAATAAACATCTTGAAATGATGTTTTATACTAACTGGCTCAACCCCTCTAATTGTTTTTTAGGATTAAATCTTAAGATGTCGTCTTTTACAGGAAGAACCACTCTGTTTGTCTGCCTCATTCTCGAAGTCCTAGCATGCCTTTTCTACTTTTTAAAAGGACCACCCAGAACAAAGTGATGCTGATTTAGGCTGCCTCTACAGTACACCATACCTGGACCAGCTCTTCATCAGTGACACCCTCCACTGATGTGTTACTTCTTTAATAAAACAAAAATGGAGGAACTGTGGTGATGCAACCTGATAAAAAAATATCTCTTAGATTCTAAGAGCCTGGCACTTTTGCTAGACAGCATAGCCAGAGTTAATAATACGCCTTGAAGTGACTTGACTTAAGACTTCTAGCCTACTGTGTACTTATCCTATTTATTTAGCCTGTCTTTAAGAGAACAATGTAACAATCAACCTTACTCGACTTGGATTTGCCATGTAATCAGCTTTTACAACCTAAATTAATCCATCTTAAATTATATAGTCTTACATGTCCCTGACATACAGTAATGCATGTGTCCTAATAATCATTGGCTGAATAGAGCAAAAATAGAGGTTGAAAGCATTCTTATAAAATGAATATCTACAATAAATGTTGAACAAAGCATTCAGATATTGCTTGATAAACAATGGTTGTTTAGAGTATTGCTTACTAGCTGGGTCAGTTGGAGTCAGTGACTTAATTCCTTGTAAAATTCTGTTAAAGATTTTTGGGAAGGATCCTCATTCCTTCCCCATGTGATACTTTCTGTACTGTTCAATAAACACAGAACAAAGCCCTTTGTTAGGGACAGACAGACACAGAGGCAGGAGCAGATTCACAGGACAACATTCAAGCAGGCACGGATTCACACACATACAACAGAAAGACAGGACAGAAGACACAGGGAGCGTGAGAAATCTAATCTGGGCTTGTTCCTAAATGACGCCAAGAGGAAATGCTTTGATTTTTTCCCCTTAATGCAACACCGACAAATTATTGGTGACTCAGAGTTTACTCTTAATGTCTTCAAACCGACCACACAAAGGAAATGGGAAAAAGAAGGAAAGATGGAAATAATGAACAAAGAAAGAGCTCCACAGACAAAGAAAAAAAGACAGAGGAAAGAAACCCTAATCAGAATCTGGGTGGTAAAAAAAAAAAATATTATCTATGCTATTGAATAACTAGCATGAGTTAAAGGAACATAATATATTCAGGCTTTAACCTTTTATCTGACACCTTCCCTGGTATTAAAGATCTACTCTCAGCATTTCAGTTTGACTAGCTGAGGCACACTATTCAGGGTGCTATTTTTAAATACAAAATGGTATTTTCAATTAAAGGTAATATAAGCCTATTAAAATGAATACATAAATGAAAAATATTAGAGCAAAGAAAAAATGATGATGATAACAATCACCAATAGGCCCACATATGGATTCTTTAAACATTTTGCTTATTCTTTAATATCTGATTTTGTTGCTTGGTTTTTGTTTGTTTGTTTTTTCAAACCTAAGTATTAAAGACATAAGATGCTGAATCTCCAACATGGAGTTTTATGAGGGAGTCTTGTTATACTGCTCAGGGTGTTGTCAAATTCTCTGGCTCAGGTCATTGATTTTCCTAACTTAGCCTTCTAAGGTGCTTGCACTGAAGACAAGACATGTGCCACTGTGCCTGGCTACAGTGAGGTGCATAAATCATCTATAAAGTTGAACAAGCACAACTGTATATTCATTACTGCCCATCAACACTAGTCTCCACAGAATTCTAAAGCCAGATTCTGATCTAGATTCATCATTATATTACTTTGATTTTGGAGAACTATTCACAATGGTCTCTCTCCTTCTTAATGACAAAGCAAGTGTCCAGGGGACAAATGGAAAGTTCAGGTTCAAAATATCATCCAGGAGTGAGAATTAGTAGAATTTGATGGAGGATGAACCAGAGAAAAATCCAAAAACTTACAGTCGGTAATTCTAATCTGAGAAAGTCATTTTTCCCTTTCAGGTAGGTGTTCTTTGCATCTATTAGCAAAATAAGTGATTTAAAAAGAGCCTTACCGATTCCAATATTATATGACTTGACATTTCTTTGACAAAGAAATTTTAAAAATATGACCATGTAAAGAAAGGAGGGAAAAAAAAGACTTTTATTTTCTCTAGTAACAAAATTCATGAATCTTAACCAATAGTGACATTTTAAGCTTTTACACTTGAAAACCTACCATTATATTTCCCTCCAGACTTCTCACCACCTTTTTTTGTTTTGTTTTTGTTTTTTACATTATATTTTGAGATAGGATCTCATCCTGTGCCCCAGGCTGGTCCCCAAATCCTGAGCTTAAGTGATCCTCCTGTCTTAGCCACCGAAGTTATGAGGACTATAAAGACATATCACTGTGTTTGGTCAGAATGTTTTACAGCTACCCTTTTTCGTCAATAATATGACGGCAAAAAAAAAATCATTCATTTAAAGTTAGAGTGAATCCTAGCAAAGTATATAGATGGTGCTGGGGATCCCACCTGATTTTTCAGAAAGGAGATTAAATTTGGAGTTTGGCTTTGGGATGAAAGCTCAAGAATATGATCCTTCTTATTCTGAGCTTTTCTACCCCCATGCACTGAAAGCGCATGCTCCTCTTGTTTCTCTCAGCTCTATCAACGGATGTGGATAATTTGCTAACAACTCTCTCTGGCCAAGAAAATGTTTTAGGTAGATGGGAAATAATATGACATCTGAAGAAAATAGCATTGTGTTGTGCTTGTAAAGTTCACATCCATGAAGAAATTATTTAAATTGTTACAAAGAATTGCTCTTTTTAAGGCATTATGTTCCAAGTAAAACTAGAATTTACACAATTAAAATAAAAGTTAAAAAAAATAAAAATAAAAGTTTAGTAGAGACTGCAATGATACGTACACTTTCTTACCAACGCTTTTTGCCACCTACTGGCTAGAAGGAGAATACACCCTAGGGACTGAAGGAAATGTGGTGCATTACAAAAAGCTTGAGACGAATGGAATCTGAGAAAACCGGAAAACCATTTGAGTAAAATTTCTTCACTAAGGAAGGAGAGGGGAATTACTGTTGAGAAAAGGGGAGAGAGAAGAGAGAAAGTGTGGAGAAGAAACAAAATGAGGAAGAAGGAAGTGAGAAAGGAAGGAAGGAAGGAGGGAAATCTGATTCTGTACGGATAAGGGAAGTGATTAGAACAAAGTGCTTAGCAAGTTGGTAAAAGGTTTGATTTCTGATATCAACTGAAGTCAAGTGAAGTAGATTGTTCATGCCATGCTTGTAGGTAGCAGCAAAGCAGAGACTCTATTCCAGATCTTCACATTTCTTGTCCCTCCTTCTCATACCCAAACAATGACTTTGTTTCACTCTGTTTACACTTCTGCTCCTTGTGACAGCCCAAGTGCTCCTCAAATCTTAGTTATAACTATGGCACATAGTTGAACAAAACATAGCTTTCTCTAGTCTTTTGTTTTCATTACAAATACATTTAATTAAACACACACACACACACACACACACACACACACACACACACACACACACACACACACACCCCCCCAAATAGGAGAGCATGCAGAAAGTGTCACAGAATTGCAGAGTTGAAAACACAGGTTCATTCCATTGACCTCCCGAATATAAGGATTGTATTATAATCTGTCTCTCTTTGGCCAAAGATCTATGTGGCCAAGTGTCCTCTCTGTCATATCAGCACTGCCCAGAAGCTGAGTAGTGCCTGAATTTCCCTCCTTTTGCTCCAGAACAGAGCTTTCTCAGCCTTCTACTCACTCTGCAAATGAAGACAATATCAAATAGTCAGAACGTGGACAAGACATTGAAGAGATAAAAGTCTTTTGAAAATCCCCCAAGCCCCCTGAACACACCTCCCTCTTTTCACCAGCACTCCCTCCTCCCATGTTATTACTTCTCACTCTTGACCCCCTACTTGACAAAGCTTATGAGTCCTCCGCCTGCTGAAGTACTTACCAGGATTGTCAGGCTGCATGACAGCCATCACAAAGGTGTGAGGAAAGAGCATGGCTGAGCCTTTCCTCATGCCCTGAAGCTGTACAGTGTTGCCCTCGAACGTGACCCCATGTACGTCAGTCTCTGTGCCCAGGCCAAGCAGGTGCCAGGCCACCATATCACCCTTGCACATGTCCAGCCTGGGCAGGTTAGAGAACAGAAACCCATTAATAGCTGGAAAACAAAAACACAGACAAAATTGGGAGATGAGATCAGACTACTCAAGTCATGGTCAGCAGCATATCAGCCCTGTACTATGATTTCCCATAGCTTGAAATTCTAGATCATCTTAAACTCCCTGCTTTCTGTTATGCTAGTCAGGTTGTACTCAGAGAAGTCTTTTGTATGAGACCACAAATTAGCTTTTTTGGTCTCATCTCTTTCTCCTCCTTTACCACACTCTGGATACAATGAACTATTTTCTACTACTTCAACCTTCAACTCTTGCATGCATATACCCAAAGACACACACACACACACACACACACACACACACACACACACACACACACACACACACACACACACACGCACCCCTTAAACTTTCCCGTTTACCCCTGGTCTCCAATTTTCTTCCATTTTACTCTTGCTAGTTTTCTTGGAATATCTTGGATTGCTTCTTGGATTGCTCTTTCTCCTCACCATTCTAATTCTACACCGCCCCCCCCCACCACAGTGTGTTTTACAAAGTTTTAAGTTGTCAAGCTAAGTCCTCTTCTTTACCTTCACTAGTAATACCAAGGATATTTGCTCACCTAGAACTCTTGTGCAAAAGCCTCTTTCCAGATATCCCTCCCTGAAATATTTACACACCCATATCCCCAACTGTCCTAGCATATCTACTCATCTCTACATCTTCAAAGTATTAAATCTAGTTTACTCACAGTGTGTATGTTGAGTTTTTACACGCTTTCCTCTCAGCCTTAGAATAGACTTCAGTTCTTGTCTCTATGTAATCTACTAATCTACTCATCCATCATGTCCTAGCTTAAATAACATTGCCCTTTATGAAGCATGTACATATCCCTCTCCCTCTGTCTTTCTGTCTGCCTGTCTCTCCCTCTCCCTCTTGAGGAAAATTTCTGTAATATAACTTATTCCAGAGTGTCCAAAATTTTTCTATACTAAGCATCTCATTTTTCTGTTTCTTTATGACTGCCTATTAAGACTTCAATAAATTCAAAGTGGAATGATATGACTCATGAGAGGGTCTTACTTTTCCCATAATAATGGACTACCTTGGAAAGGAAAACAAGAAGCATGCAGAAGACAATACATTCATTTTTATGTCCTCTTGCTGTCTACTTGCCCCCAAATATAGAGAAACCCTTCTGTGTTCCCATCTACACTGGAATCAAATTCCAGGACTTATTTAACCAGTCCCCTGGGATTCTGATGAGAACATTGATAATCCCCAGTTCTGCCTCCCCTGCCTATAATGTCTTGATTGTAACCCTATTCAGTCTTCAGCCCCCACTCAAGTAGTCCCTTCTTCAATGAATCATCTAAATTTATTGTTCTTTATTAATATTCTTCTCATTTGAAATTAAAAGATTCCTTCGCACATTTAGTAGTCTGCCTGGATTGTTCTATAATTATTTTCATGGGTGTTATTCACATCTCATTGAAAATTGCTGGACCCTCACTGAAATCTGGGACTGTTTTCCCTCATTCTTTCATCCACGTACCATTGATTCGGTAGTTCAGTAATTCAATTAACACTTACTTTATGATTGCCTAGTAATTAAATAAAATGTAGAAGATACAGAGATAACCATCATACTCTAGAAGAAGTGAAGAGCCATGTAACAAATAATTACAATGTTAAATAATATATGGAACATATGCTTTTAAAATTACTAAACTACTTTGTAGCCTGGTCTGTTTGAGGGGCCCCTGACAGTGTGATCAGTATCTATCCCTGGTGCATGAGCTGGCTTTCTGGAGCCCATTACCTATGGTTGGACAGCTTGCTCAGCCTTGATGCAGTGGGGAGGGGATTGGTCCTGCCTCAACTGAATGTACCAGGCTTTGCTGTCCCCCCATGGGAGGCTTTACCCCTTTGGAGGAGAGGATGGAGGGTGGATCAGAAGAAGAGTCTAGGGGGAGCAGGAGGAGGGATGAGGCGGGAATCTGTGGTTGGTATGTAAAATGAATAAAAAAATTAAAATAAAAAAATACTAAAGTGCAATGATACATAGAAAAGAGAATTCCTAGCCTGAACTTGAGTGATAAGAAGTGCAAATATTGGTGAGGTAGCTTTTGAGCAGAATCTTAGAAACTGGGCAGAATTTCCAAAAGCTGAAGGCAAATATGTAAAAATGTATATTTCAACTAAAGAGCATGACGATGGAAAAAAATGAAATAAGTAGAAGCTATGATTGTGGAAAGAAAAATAGCTACACTTTGATAATATATGGGATATGGGGAGGGTAGGAGACAAAACTGGATGGAAGCTGCAGATGTACCCAGTGGCAGAACACTTGCCTGTTACCTGGATTCTATTACCAGAACTACGAAGAAAAAGAATTAAAGAACGTCACCTCAGCTTAATCTGTTATAGCCTATGGAACATCACATGTGCACAGTTTTCATCTTCCAGTGCCTCCCATACTGTGTAATACAGGTCATGGCACAAGAAGACATCAGTGTAAGAACAGCTGTTGTGGTAGGGTGGTGACATGGCTCAGTGGCTATGAGCTCTTGCTGCTCTTCAGGGGACCTGAGTTCAGCTTCCAGCACCCACATCTAGTGGCTTACAACCACCTCCAGCTCAATGGTATCAGACAGCCTCTTCTAGTCTCTATGTATACCTACACACACACACACACACACACACACACACACACACACACACACACACACACATACACACATACACACACAGGGAGACAGGGATGAAGAAGAATAGTAGTAATAATAATAATAATAATAATAATAATAATAATAATAATAAATTTTAAAACAGAAAAACTGTTATTTATGTTGTTTTCCTCAACCTAGCTTGTCCTTGTATAAAGATTATCAATGAGATGACCATTTTTAGGAATTGGCTATGAGTATGGTTAGAGTTACATTTTCCTTGAGACCCCAAAGTTATAGTCAAAGGCAAAATTATTCTCCATACCATGCATTTGATTGGAGTCCTGGAAGGCCTCAACATCCTCTGAGAGCAGTCGGATATCCAACATACCAGCTGCTTGATTGGCACTGCTGTACCAGCTCTTGTTCTCATCAAACACAGTGAAGAGGAGAAAAAATTCTTTATCCATTCCTTTCTGTAGTCCCAGTGGGAAAAAACAGAAGGAGGAATGACAATGGTTTCAGCAGTTGAATATTGCGTAGTTGTCGACCCAAGGATTCCTGATTCTTTCTCATTTCCTTTCTCAGATTCAGAGCCAGGCCCATATTTCATGCTCAGAGCTGCAGTTGTTGCTAGGGAGGTTTTCCTCAGGAAAACTTAAAATTGTCAAGGAGATAAAATCAGAGTAAAGGAACAAGACTAGAGGCGAATAATGTATGAAAGGAAGCAGGGAAGAAGCATACGGTGTGGATTAAGGAACCATTGCACAGTATGTGACCAGAGATAGCCTGAAGTCACCTGGGAAGAAGATTGAGGGGAAAGTAGCTAAGAAAGCAGAGAAGGTCTATGGAGGAAAATTAGAAAATTTTAAAAAATAGAAAAGCATTAACATGATTTATTGTTTTTAAAGCTAATGTTTACTGGGTGCTTACTAAATACCAGACACCGTAGTAAGTGCTTTATGCATATTAATCATATGACTCTTCAAAGAAGTCAAAGATAACTTCCTTTGTTAACCCTTACTTTACAGATGAAGAAGTTAAGTTAAAGAGATTTTAAATAACTTGACCAAAGTCACACAACAATGATGGGGTACATGAAAAAAAAATGGCAAACAGGTATTAAAGCAGGTTTATGGATTATGAACAATTTTATGGGCCACTGATTTGGGAGGGGGAATAATGATTCGGGGATATGGAAAAAAATAAGAATCAAAAGCTAAGAATGATGTGTGTTTGCATGTAAAACAATAATATACATAAGAACAGGAGGTCACCAACTGCTGTCGGATAAAATTGCTTGGTTTTTCTTTTTTTCTATTCCCTTACCTCCAGGATCCAGCCCCATTCTTGACACATACCCAGAAACTCAGCTTTATTTCTCTCCAACCAGTCTTGCTACCCAGACTCCCCAGTAATACCTGCTTGCCATCTGCACCCAAGGCACCAGCCTTGCAAACCAGCAGAGGGCCCACCAGGCCAGAATTTGTATCTCTTATGGGATCTGCAGCAGAGAAGTACATCCAGGTTAGACAGGCAGGATCCTGAGCAGTGGGCCCAGCATGAGGTGGAACCATCCAGTTGTATGTTACTTTCTCAAAGGGCTTGGCTACCAAGCCAGGGTGAGATGTACCTGCAGGGAAACATGAAGCCATTATTCACATTGGCTAGAGTAAGGATCATCAGCTCCAAAGAGTATAAAAAAAAGATAAACTACAAAGACATGTTAAGGCAACAGTGATGGCAGCAACACCCAGTAATGGATATTGCAGTGCTTGAGAGCACATGCACAGCCTTTTTCCTGTGAGCCAAGCGTTCTACCACTGAACTGCAGCCTGTCCTAAGACTGCAATCGTTTAAATGGATGAATAACATGATCAAGCAATCAACAGAACTGTATTTTTATTTTAATTTCCAGCATATTAGTTTTCAAAGAAGTATAAATGAAAGTACTTAAATAATTTTGGATCTATCAAATTGGCAAATATTTTATCAATTTTAATCAGTGCAGTGAAAATGGTTCTTTCCCTTACCTATAAAAAGAGTTTAAATGTAGACAGAAATAACTCATTTTGGAAATAATATTGGCAAAATACAAAAGTCTTAAAATCCTTCCTGCATAGAAAAAATTAAGATGTATAATACGTAGTATAAATAATGTTAAAATAAAGCAATCAAATAAATGCAAATCAAAACAGCAGTGAGTTGCATTGATGTTGCTTAATAGACTCTCATTTTGACAAAATAGTAAAAAGATTGTCTTAGTGCAGGTGAGGTTGTAAAGAAATAGACCTTCAAGTACTGTTGATGCAACTACAAGTTAATCAGACTACAAATCTGTCCAGAGAACAAAATGGAAGTAGGTGATAAAGAGTTCAAAGTGCATATCCTATAACAAACTAATTTTACATTCGAGTTCCAGGAAAGGTGCAAAACTACACAGAGAAACCCTGTCTCGAAAAACCAAAAAATAAAAATAAAAAAAGAACAGATCATGAAGAAATAATCATTAAGATCCTATAAATAACATTCAAAAGGACATTGGTAGCATGGTTTGTAGCAAAAGGATAAAATTTGGTATGTTATGAACTTATCATTTCTTATTCACTCATCATTTCTAATTCCTTAAATTTTTATAGCTAGAAAACATTAAAGAATGGTACAATTATGTGAAATAAGAAAAGGGAGCTAGTTGATAAGAGAAAGGGAGGAGTTGTGGCAGAAAAAGTGTCATAAGGTGAATATGGTAAAAACATATTGCATACATGTGAACATACCATTATACAACTCACTTTTTGCAACAAAAAACAAAATAAATTTTAAAAATTGCACAATTATGATCCTATCATCTAGACTCAATGTCTATTTATAAAATTTTATCATCTTTAATGCATTTACATCTATTGAGAAGTATAGCTCAGTGGTAGAACATTTGCTTAGCACTTGTGAAGTTCTAAGTTTTATCCTCAGCCACCATAAGAGGATAAGTCTCCATTTGTGCATATTGTACATCTATATGCATCACACAGGTTTTTACTTGTTTGTTTTCTTTTGTTGAGTCATTTACAAATAAAATTTACACCACCATAACCTCATTGTTGAAAACAGATCAGGAAGAATCTCCTATGATAGGACTGGACAGATGGCTCAGCAGTTAAGAGCATGTATTGCTCTTGCAGGAAACCTGAGTTCAGTTCCAAACACACACTTCAGGTGGCTCACAACTCACTCCAGCTCCAGGGGAACTGGACACCTCTAGCCTCCGAGGGCATCTGAATTCATGTGCACATACATAAACACATATATGTATAACTAAAAATAATAAAAGTGAACTTACTACCAGTGCCCCTGTAGCCACCTCATATACTATGGACCCAAGTAGCTACTACTGCTCTCCTTTCCTGCCTTCCTCCACTTAAGGCTGATTGCCAGGACCAGCTACCTTTCCTCAGCCTGTATGTATCCCTTCCCCTAGCATTCACCAGATTCCAGCTCAATACCCGGGAGAGAGCCTCAAGTTATCACACATGACACAGAGTCGCAGAGCCCTGCCAGCTGCCTCACTAGGACCCTCTAGTTACCCTTTAAGGCCTTTAAACCCAGGACCAATCTACACTGCCAAGGGAAACTTGCTCAAGACTCCTTAACCAAACCTAGATAGAGGCTGTATTCCCAAATACCGGTTAAAGAGAGGAAATCAAGATTCCAATGCTACTATGAATTAGCCCTGTCTAGAACATTGCAAGAACCTCTGCTAAAAGAAAAGTGAGTTGAACAAAAAATTAAAGAAAAAAATCAACCAACAAAGTAACCCCAGATGTGCAAATCCTAATGCAGAGATAATAACAAGACACAAAAAAAGCAAAATAACATTCTATCTCCAAACATAAATCCCATAGCAATATCTCCTGTTGAAAATAAATGAAGACACTTTCAGACAAAGAATTCAAAAGAATGATTATCACAATGGCAAACAACTCAAAGAAGACAAAATCAAAGGGGTGCCTGAAATAAGTAAGTCAATCCAAAACATGAAAATAGAGTTTAAAGTTTTAAAGAAACCCCAAACTGAAAAGATGCTGGAAATGAAAATCTCACAAGGCCAATTAGAAGTGTTAGTGGAAAGTCTCACCAACAAAATGCATCATGCCAAAAACAGAGATTCGGACATAGCAGACAAAGTAGAGGAATTGGATCATTTAGGAAAAGTCAATGAAAAAAATTTAATACAGATGAATGGAACATGTAAGAGCTTTGAGACACCATGAAAAAGCCAAAGCCTTCAAATACGGGCAGAGAAGAAGGAGAAGAATACCACAGTGAAGGCATACAAAATATCTTTAGTAAAATCATAGAAAAAAAACTTCCCAACCAAGAGAAAGTGATGCCCATCCAGGCACAAAAGGCCTAAAGAGCAACAAGCAGACAAGAATAGACATATTATAGTTAAAGCATTAAAAAATATAGGATAAAGAAACGGTATTGAAAGATTCAAGAGAGAAAAGTCAAGTCACATTTAAAGGCAGGTCTATTAGTATTTAACAAAAGCCTTTAAAGCCAGAAAGGCCTAGAAAGATGACTGCAAGTCCTGAGAGGTCACAATTGTCAACACAGACTATTACACTCATAAAAACTATTAAAATTAAAGAAGAAACAAAAATTTCCATGGTAAAAATAGACTAAAAGAATTTATGACCAGAAAACAAGATCTTCAGAGGATACTAGAAGAAATATTTCAGCTTGAAGAGAAGAATACACACAACCAAGAGGTCATAAGAAACAAATAAGCAATGCCAGGGCAGGTAATGAAAAGAGCTCTAAGAAAATAACAAATCAACAAAATGACAAGGATTAAGACACATCACTCAATAATAACAGAAGATTATTGATCTTGATTCTATAATAAAAAGACACATACTAACAGATAATATTAGAGGATTCATATTTTTGTTGCCTTCAAGAAATACACCTCACCATGAAAAACAGATACCTTCTTAAGATAAAGGGGTTAAAAAATGGCATTCCAAGCAAATGAAACTGAACAACAAGCAGGTGTAGCTACTCTAATATCTGACAAAACTAGTCAGAGACTTATGGAGGATATTTCATGATCCTTAAAGAAAAACGCTACCAATGGGTAATTACAATTATGAACATAAACACACCAAACACATGGGTACCTGATTTCATAAATGAATCACTATTAAAACTAAAACCATGGGTTCACCACATGGTGACACATAGTGACAGTGGTTGACATCAATATCTGACTCTCACCAATAGATATGTCATCCAGAAGTAACTAAACAGAGATATTCTGGAACTAAATTACATAAAAAAGAAAAAAGTCAAATGGACCTAACAGAAATCCACAGAACATTCCACTCAAACATCAAAGAATACATGTAGTGGGTAGCTGTTCCAGTTTTCACCTGGAAGTACTACCCCCATTGAGGCTTCGGTAACTGTCACACCTACAAGGCAGGGCTGAGACAGGATCCCTTAAGACCTGAGATCCGGATGTGCCGGCTCTCTTGGTTCCTGGATCCCGGATGCTGGAGGTAGACTGAGCAGAGTTCTCCAGAGAACACTGCCAAACTGCGCTACACCTTTCCTGGACCATGTAATCTATCCCTTCACTTGTAACTTACCCCACAAAATAAAACTCCCTTTTAACTACGTGGAGTTGCCTTAATACTACAACCAGTAAATACATACTCCTCTTGGCAGCCTATGGAATGTTCCCCAGAATAGACCGCATACTAGTACTCAAAGCAAGACTTGGCAAATATTGGAAAACTGAAATCACATCCTGCATTCCACCTGACTACAATAAAATAGAACTAGATTTCAACAGTCAGAGAAATAACAGAAAGTATAAAAACTCATGGAAACTAAACAACACACAACTGAATAATAATTGGGTCAAGGACAAAGTTAATTCATTAAGGAAATTTTAAAAATTCCTAGAAGGTTTGAAGAGATGGCTCAGAGGTTATGTGTACTTGCTGCTCCCCAGAGAACCTGGGTTTGCTTCCTAGAACCCACATGGCAGCTCACAAGTGCCCTTAGCCCCAGATCCCATTACTCCAGTTCTGGCTTCCATGTGTACCAGGCATGCACATGGTGTACATGCATACATACAGGTAAAAGACTCATACACATAAAATTAAAAATAAACTTTAAAAAACTTATTAAAAATGGAAGGAAAATGAAAAGACAACATTTCAAAAAGCTATGGGATACAATGAAGGGAGTCCTAAGAGGAATGTTTATCACTAAATGCGTACATAAAAAAGTATGGGATTTCAAATAAATGCACTAATGATGCAACTAAAGGCCGTGAAAAAGAAGAGCAAACAACACCCTCCCAAAAACTAGATGGGAAGAGTTATCAAAGTAAGGGCTGAATTAACAAAATGGAAATGAACAATTCAGTACAATGAATCAATGAAGAAAAGGACTGGTTGTTTGAAAACATTAATAAATCTTTGGTCAAATTAACCAAAAGAAACTGAGGGTTCAAATTAAAAAAACCACAAATGCAGAGAGAGACATTAGACCCCAAGGAAATTCAGAGAATCATGAGAATGTACTATAAAAATCTATATTCCACCAAGTTGGAAAAAAATCTAACAAATGCCCGAATTTATAGATACATATGGCCTGGAATATTTAAATACTCTGCAAGAAATCTCCCATACCTGAACACATTTAACAAAGTAGCAGACTAGAAAACTAGCAGACAAAAACCAGTAGCCTTTGTATAGAGGGAAAACATACCAAAAAAGAAATCAGGGAAATAATTTATTTCACAAATGACTAAAAAAAATAAGTAAAACATCTTGTATTAAATCTAACAAAGGATTTGAAAGACTTGTGCAATGCAAATTTTAAGACACAGAAATAAGACATTGAATAAGATACCAGAAGATGGAAAGACCTCCCATATTTATGGACTGACAGCATTAATACTGTGAAAATGGTTATTTTACCAAAAGCAATTTACAGATTCAGTGAAATTCCCATCAAATTCTTCACAGAAATTGCAAAACAATTTTAAATTTCATATAGAAACTCAAATGGCCTATGATACACAATCCAGATACACAAACACAATCCAAAACAATGAAAGAACAGTTAGACGACATATCACTAACCCAGACTCCAAATTGTGTTAGAGATCTATAGTAATAAAAAAGCACGATCCTGACAATAAAAGAGACACATTGTTCAATGGAATAGAATTGAGGAGCTACAGATGAGCCCACACTCTGGCATTCATCTGACTTTTGACAAAGTGGTCATCAATAAACATTGGAGAAAAGATAGCATCTTTAGCAAGTGGTGATAGTCAAACCAGATAGTTATATGTAGAATGAAACTAGATCCTTATTTCTCACCCTGTACAACACTCTACTCCAAATGGATCAAGGACCCTAACGTAAGAAGAGATGATCTGAATCTGACGGAAGAGAACGTGGCAAATAGCCTTGAATTCATTGGCAAAAGAAACTGTGTGAACAGGACACCGATGGCACAGGCACTAAGACCAAAAATTAATAAATAGGACCTCATGAAACTGAAAAGCCTCTGTACAGCAAATAACGCCATCATTCTGGCAAACTTTCAGCCTACAGAATGGGAAACGATCTTTACCAAGTATTTATCTGATAGAAGGTTCATGCAGAGAATACATACAAAAAGAAAAATCTGATCATCAATAGAAATAGCCCAGTTAAAAATGGGTACAGAACTAAGCAGTTCTCAAACAATGAAACCCAAATAGCTGAGAAAAGCACTTAAAAAGGTTCAATATCCTTAGTCATCAGGGAAATGCAAATTAAAACTACTTGAGATTTCTTCTTATCCCAACCAGAATAACCAAGATCAATAAAACAAATGGCAGCACATGCTGGTAAGGAAAAAGAGAAGGGGGAACACTTATTCATTGCTGGTGGGAGTGCAAACTGGTACAGCCACTATGGAAATCAGTGTAGATGTTATTCAAAAATAAAGAAATCTACCACATTATCCAGTTATACCACACTTGGCCATATCCCCAAAGGATTCCTATCCTACCATAGAAATACCTGCACATCCATGTTCATTGCTGTTCTATCCACAATAGCTAGAAGATGGCAACATCCTAGATGTCCAACAACTGATGAATGGATAACAAAAAGTGCTATATTCACACAATGTAATATTACAGCTGTTTAGAAAAAAAAGAAATGAAATGTTCATGTAAATGGATAAAGTGATAAGTAACACTTCCGAATGAGGTAACCCAGGCCCAGAGAGACAAACAATGTTTTCTGCCATTTGTGGATGTTGGCTTTGACTCTTTGGATATGTGTGTTTCATTTGGAATTCCCATAGAGGTCAGGAATTCAGCAAGGCACCTTGGGAGCGAGCAGGTTTCAAGGGAGGGGAAAGAGAACACAGTAATATTAAAGGGTTAAATGGGAAAGAAAAGGACACAGCAGCACAGAGGAGAGAATAGAAAGATATAACTAACACTTGAGACACTTTGAAAAAGTCATATGACAAACCTAGTACTATAAAGGTTTCCTAAAATACACTCATGCACCATCAACCAACAATTTAAATGGAGTTACTCCATAACAGTGTAGCATGTCCCTACTAGATACCTCAGGCCAACAAATAAGTCTAACGACAGAAATGGGCTAACTATTTTTGAGCAGTTGATAAGTCAATTCCCATTGATGCTTATATACTAAAGGCTTTTGCCAATGCTTTTGGTTACCCTCCACAACTGGATAGCAAAGCTCTGTTGCTGAAGCCACCACACACTTGAGTCATAGAACATGGAGAAATCAAGCTGATACACCTGGAAACTTCAGACCTACTGGTTACCTGTCATGTTAGATGGTGATAAGAATGCCAGAAGAAGAGAAAAGGAACCAATCTTACCTAGCTGTGAACCCTATGAGCTACAACAATGGCTAGCCTGGCAAGACATACCACTTGCACATTAGTGTTATGGGAGTAGCCAACCACTTTGTGATTGGATTTAATGCCTGCCCCACAAGTTGAAAGCCATACCTAGAAGTATTATTGGGGCCAAGATCCTGTGTATAGACAAGTGATAGGCCCTAGGGGAGTACTATTACTCTACTAAATTGACATAATATGAAACTCACTCCTAATGACTGAGGTATTTGTCTATGAAGAGATTAGTGCATCTCTCAACCCTCATCAGACAAATTTCCTTTTGCAGTAGATAGTGATTAACACTGTAACTCGCAACTGGCCAAGGTATAGAGAAAAAGAGACTGGATATTCCTCAGCCCTAAACAGAACATTTACATCCGAGGCCCAGAAATAATCGCAGAAAGGGAGCAGAAATAGCCTAAGAGGCAGATGTAGAGGATGGCTAGAAGTAAACTGTTTTCTGAACACAGCAGCATAGCTGTACAAGCCAACTCACAGCAACTGAGAGAACATGTATAAGACCTGCACAGTCTCAAGCCAGACAAAAGTCCATCTTGGAGAATGGAGTTAAATACAAAGTCCTATACTGAGCTAAGGATCTATTGGCTGCTTGGGAAGGGAGAGTCTGTTTTGTTAAAGTCTGCAGCCCTTAATTCATTGAAGACATTCCAGTGAAGGCCACACATCCAAGAGTATATGTGCAGCACAAATTGGAGTTGGTTTGTTGTTGTTGTTGTTGTTGTTGTTGTTGTTGTTGTTGTTGTTAAGATACTAAGTTGGGTTGGTAGGGAAGTGGGGATGGATCTGGGAGTAATGGGTGGACGTGGTGCATATGATCAAAATGCATTGTATGAAACTCTCAGAGAACTAATAAAAATGAGAAAAAGTAAATCTTAAAGATTTTCTTCTGTGCTATCAGAACAGTATTATCACAGCTAAGAAATTTCCCAGTATCGTTCAACGACTAATCTAGGTGAAAACTTCTTAAGTTATCCCCAAAGTTTCTGCTTTGTTTCATTTTTTTTTTTAATTTTCTTATGACAGAATTTTACTATGCAGCATATGCTGGGCTAGAACTGAGTAGTAGCCCAGGGTGGCTTCATCCTTCCTGGCAATCCTCTTCTATTTCCCAACTGCTATGATCATAGACATGAGCCATCACACCAAACTTGTCATGCTTTTTTGAGAGAGGGTCTTGTTTTATAGCACCAGAATGACTTCAGACTTGTAAACATCCTGATAGCCTCTAAAGTGCTGGTATTACATGTGTGCCCTCATATCTGAATTTGGAATATTTCTTCAAGCTATTTTTATATCAAGGAACAGGAGAAGTTTGCAGGTTGCACTTGGTTGATACCTAATAACTGTGTCCCCTTATTCACAATATTGATTCATAAAAGAACAAGATCTGAATGCCTTATGGAAAGTTCTTTTGTATTTGTTTACAACTTTGACATTTATGTATTCAGTGCTTTCTACATGTTTATCTTAGAATGAGCATATGAAAATATCATCAGAGAAAATAAGAAATTACAGAGTAATCTCACTTATAGGATTCTATTATGTGATATATCCCCCCCAAAAAAATGAAGCTAAGATATACACGTTTATATGTTACTATTTAAATACTAGCGATATTTAAAACTACTAAAAAAGTTATATGCCTGAGCAATAGAAGCTAAAGTAAACAAACTGTAGAAAATCCAAGTCAGAGTGTTACATGGTAACTAAAACGTTACATTATGATTGTAGACAGACACAGTGTAATGTATACACTAGCAAAATGAAAAACTGTTCAAATTATATCATCTCATTTCTTAAATATATATTATAATTACAGAAAAATATTAAATGGCATGTGAAAATGAACATGACAGTTTACCTATGAGTGATGGTTGTTTTACAATTTTATATATTTACATTTTTCAAACATTCATGATGTGTACACTTTATAATAAGAATATACATAAGTGTATTTTTATTTTGTTGCTGAAAATAGAACTCTCGACTTTGCCCATGCAGAATATAAACTTTATCATTAAGCTATACCTGTGCCTTCTAAAAATACTTTTTACAAGACTATAGTTTCAGAGATCATTTCTAAAAATACTTTTTAAAAAATTTTTCTATTATTAATGAATTGGGCTCTGCTTCACTGTCCTATCATTCATTCATTCATATGACCACAAACTTGGCTCTTTCTCCCAATGCTTCGTTTATTTCTCTCCTAGAGCCGCCTGCAGCCTACATTGTCGGAAACCCTTCCAGCTCACCATCATTGTACACAGTGCCCTCGTAGTCTTTCTCATAAAAGACACCATGGGGCTGCATGCTGAATGGCTTGGAGGCACGGTTGTAGAAGACCACCTGGATGGTGTCACCCACTTCAGCTCTTATCACTGGTCCTGGAAAATGGAAAACAGAGACCATGAGAATGAAAACAAAGATGGAGAATGGAAACAAAAGGGTAAGGAGAGAAAATGTAATGGAATATACACAAGATAGAGAATGCTTCCCTTTAAAATAATCTGCTTTAAGCATCATGCTATTTATAATAATAAAAAGCACTATTAAATCCATTATCTCTTCTGATTTTCACGTATTAATATAAGGTATAATAGGAGGGGTTATTACCTCCATTTTACAGATGAAATAACTTCAGGGAAGAAGCATTGACCTATAAAAATTCAAATAGCAATTACAGAGCCAGAAACTAAGGTCATCTCTGTCTTCTACACTACAGTCAGATCCAATTCCATTAATCCTGAATTTATTCTCTGTTCTGCCATAGTCATATTTCCTAGTAAGTTCCATCTAAGATCTGAGCTCACCAAAATTTTAATCAAATTATAAGCAAAGAGAATAGAGGCCTGGAAATACGTAGTCTAGGCAAAACTTTTGGACTTGTGTGTGCTTTGCTACTCATTATCCCTTTCAACCTGACTTGGATCACTATCAAGGCTACCAAGACAATAGCCTGACTATTTATACTGACTCTACTCCAAGGTTAGACTTTCTAGCTTGGTTTCCTACCTCAATTTCCACATGGTCTTCATAACTGAACAACTGTGTATACATATAGAACAGTGGCCAACAACAATTCCTTCACATATACTAATACTTCTCTTTTCTAGGAATGATATTTTCTCCTTACATTACCCTGTCCAACCAATATATTGTTCCTTTTCAATCCAGAATCAACTGCACACAAATATCCCTGGAGTATTATACTATTTCCAAAGTTTTCTACCAATTGTTCTATTTCATAGTGATTAAACACATCTAACCTTCCCGTATTGTGTTTAAGACCTTTTAGATATAGTCTCCAAGATCATACAGCAAACCTAGTTCTTTATCCCTAATAGTAATGAACATGTCTATATATAGTGGGAGTATGCTTCTGGATCTACACTATCAAAATTCTGGATGGTCTTACTGTCTTTAAACAGTTCCTCAAGAACATCTTGACAGAGGCAATTCACAGAACGGAATCAGTACCATAGTGGTAATAGAGGGTATTACCAAAATAATTTATTAGTGAAAGTTTGAGAAATGGTATATAATTTCCATTTCCATCTTGAACATTTATCATAAACAAAAGTAACCTAAGGCTCGCAGAAGTCTTACAGAAAAACTCTATTTGACTATGCTGAAAACATATTGATTGTTAAACACACTCAGATCTGGGACACCAATTACAAACACTCATTTTTTGGGACTCAGCTTGGGAGAGGCTTTTACACAATCTTCACTTGTGTCAGTACCAGGCTCAAGTTATAAGTCCTCCTCACTTCATTTGTCTCTAGTTCATGAATTTTAAGAGTTAAAGATTCCTCACCCAGTATTCCAAGATGTGTTTCTTCCTCTTGATGTACCCTTTCCTGGAAGGTCTCATCTTGGAAGGCTTCATATCGAACTTTCCAGTAAGTACCTCCAATTCGGGTAGAGCTCTTCTGGAAGTACTTATCTGGGCCACTAACATGTAAGAGGGTAAATGTTATATGAATTCATGGAGTATCAAATAGATACTAAGTGCACAAACATCTAGATCTTTATGAACCACCTAGATTAATTCATAACAATGAAGACACCTTCTCTGGTGACAGCACTACTAAGTGGTATACAGCTTCTGCTCGAACGTTTCCAAAGATAAAGATCTTATTTTCAGAGAATGTACTACAGTATATTTTAATAGTTGGAGTTATTCTTTATAGAAAGGTGAACTATTATTGCTTCTAAGTTCTATATACTGAGACTGGTTCAGTCCTCCAGAGTTACACAGTCTTTATCTGTTCTTTTACTTTCCTTCATCTTTTTTCTTTTCATTTTTTTTCCATTGGAGTCCATTGATCATCACAAAACCCCAAGAAATACAACAAAAGAGAAAGTAAATGTCCAAAGTCTAAGAACCCAGAGCTACTGAGAGCATATGACATTTAAATACTAGCTGTACACAGGGTACAGGATTGTGATCTTCATGAGGCATACCTACTGCCTGTGAGGAACACAGCGGGGGTTGGGGGGAACAGTGGGCAGAGAGATTATGTCAACTGCTGCATTGCTGCATGATGACTGCATTGGACGTGTTGGTTTCCTTCAAAGTCCCTTTTTTTTTTTTTGAGAAGGCAGTCATGAGAACAAAGCATGGATGGCCAGGAATCTACAATGAAGATTTGGGTGTTGCTGTTCCTATGGATGTTGTTAAATTTCCACACCCGCCTCCCACAATCAGCTAGCCAAAATTGGATATTCATGGTAAACTCGGACTCACTGATTAGTTTCGAAGAGTTCATTATGCCCTCATTTTCTGTTTGCTTCACTGGATGGCTGATATTCAGCCCTGAGCTGTATGAGATGATATGCTGCCACCCAGTTTCTGAGGCACACCAGTGGAAGCTCTGAAGATTATCTTGGGCTTCCCAAAGTCCTGTACCAACAGTCTTCTGTGTCCAACTTCACTTGCCTACTATGAAGAAGTTTCCTGAGCTCTGCTGACACCTCCTTTCTGGATAGTCTCCAGAAACTGGGCATTGGATGGGTTCTGGTAACTTCCATCCCTTTAGAAACTTCTGAGACCACCATTTTTACATGATGAGTGGATTTTATTTCAGAGCTTCAGCAGTGCATGAACGTCTTGACTAGAACACTGGTTCCTTTCTCCTTCCACACAGGTAGACTCTCTCTGGTGCTTCCCCAAGGCAATAGCCACCCACAACAATTAATGTCCATTTACTGGTCTCTCTAGGGATCATGACCACTTGCTCCATAGTCATGTGTCTGTGTTTCTTGGCATTTTAAAAGTGATCATTCACTAGCTCATTAGATCTTTTCTTCCTAGGAGGTCCAAAAGTTTCTTATCTGCTTCTCCCTGAACAGCTAGCAAAGAACCCCTGGTGTCCTAATCTTGTCTTGAATAAAGTCTCTGAAAATGTCACCCTATTATCACTGGAACGTGTGCCTCTGGACACCTAACTTTGTGGTCAAAATGTCTTTAGATCCTGGATGCTAAAAACAAACAAACAAAAACAAAAAACACCTCACTAACATAATCTGCCAGTCCTAGGCAGACGGGTGGAAGGAGCAGCAGAATCTAGCCTCCTCAGCATCAGACACCCCCAAGAACTTCTCTGTGCCCTCATACATCCTGCCATCACAAGATCATCTTTATCCCACATATACCCCAAGTTTCTCTAGACAAATGAAGGGACTGTCTCTCTATAATATACATATTATTAGTAAATTGCCACATGTTCTTCAAGCTCACTGAGAAACTGGCTCTGGAGGTGGGGTTTGCCCCTCCCCTTTCAGATCCAAGCCTGTTTGTCTTAAAGTATCTTCCAAGACCACTTGCTCAGGGACAGGCTGGTCCCCCAGCCCTGTGAGAAAGTTAAATGAGAAGAGCCAAACATGACAAGAGTAAAAATACCATGCCCTTGAGAATAGAAGAAGGGTAAATTGTTAGAGTCAAAACGTTGTGTCCTTGAACATAGCTAGAAGACAAATAATAAAAGTACCTTCCCTAAGCAAAAGCTATTGCTTAGCCTATGGTATAAAAATATAACATGATATGAAAACTAGGAACAACTAATTAGAAGTCTCACTAAGGAGAAGACATTTTACCTAGAACCCTCTTTACTGGTCAGAAGCTCCAGTTGACTGTTTTGGTTCCCAGGGTCTGTCCAGGCAGTTTCTGTTGGATGATATACATGGCTGATCTTATGCTCCATCATCTCTCTTCTGCTTGTTTGTTTTATTCTTATTCCTAGTTGTTGTATGCTTAACAAAAGCCACTCATTCAAAACCAAATGCACAGCTACAATGGACCATTCTCCATATGGAATACTCTCCCTAGGCAGATGTTCAGCAATCTTGAAATCTGTTTGTTTGTTTGTTTGTTTGTTTGTTTTTTAAAACCCCCCTGCTATCTAAAGAATGAAACACTATCAAATTCTGTGTGCAAAATCTGCATTTCTCTAATACCAAAACCAGATAAAGGCACAAACACACAAGAAATAAAAATATATAGTATAGAGCAATCTCATTGATAAGCATAGATGCCATATTTCTTAATACTCACAAACGAAATTCAAGAATACATCAAATATGTCATTACCATGATCAACTTGACTTTATTCCAGGTATGCAAATGAACACATAAAAATCAGTAGTCTACCTATGCACCAACAGTAAACATACTGAGAAAGAAATCAAGAAAGCTATCCCATTCAAAATTGCCTCCAAAATTACTTTGGAATAAATGTAACCAAGGAAGCAAACAACCTCTACAATGCAAACTTTTAAACACTCAAGAAAGAAATTAAACAGACTCCAGAACATGGAAAGAAATCATATGCTCATGAACATGAAGAATTAATATTGTGAAAATGGTTATGCTACCAAAGGCAAGCTATAGATTCAATGCAATGTCCATCAAATTTTTGTCACCCTGCACAGAAACAGGAAAAAAACTTAGAATTAATTTGGAAGCATGAAAGATCCCATATCATCAAAGCAATGCTGAACACTCAAAAAATACTATTATAGGCTTTCATCATAACTGATTCAAGTTACATTACAAACCTATAGTAATAACAATAATTAAAGAAAAAGCATGAATTTGAAAGGGCAAGGAAAGGTTTGTGGGAGGATTTAGAGGAAGGAAAGGGAAGGGGAAATAATGTAATTACACTATAATCTCAAAAAGTAAAAAGAAAAAACAACAGCAACAACAAAAACAGAAACAGAATGGTACTGTAACAAATACTGACATGTAGATAAATGAAACAGAGTCAAAGATTCACATATAAGTCCACCCACTCAGTTACAGTGCCCTGAATTTTTACAAAGATGTCAAAAATACATGTTGGAGAAGAGACAGACTTTTCAACAAATAGTGCTAGTAAAATTGGATGTCCACATGTAGAAGATTGAAATTAGATTTCTATTTCTCACCCTGCACAAAAATCAACTCCAAATGGATCAAAGATCTTAACATAATACCTGAATTTCTGAACTGCTAGAGGGTAAAGAAAGGAAAATAATAAAACTGCATGGCCACAGATAATGGCTTTCTGAGGACTGCAGTCATTTAGAATATAAGGCTGACACTGAGAAATGGAAACACATGAAATTAAAGGAAAAAATTTGTACAACAACAAAAACAGATAACCAAGTGAAAATAAACCCTGCATGATTGGAGAAAGTCTTTGTTAGATGATGTTTGACAGAGGATTAATATTTATACATATATATATATATATATATATATATATATATATATATATATATAAATCCAAAACACCCACAAAATGTTAAAAAGTCAAACAACCCAATCAAATAAGTGTGCAAATACAATGAATAGACAAGTTCTTTAAAAAAAAACTCTTTTGTATGTGTTGTGTTGTATGTGCATATGATACATGCACATATGTATGTAAGTGCATATGCCCATGTATGTACATGAAAAGTCCAGTGTCTTCCTCTCTTGCTCTCTCACCTTACTGCCTTGTGATAGGATCTCGCTTGCCCATTCACTAGGCTGGATGGCTTTTGGGATCCACCTGTCTCTACTCCCCATTGTTGGCATTTATAAGCATGAGTATCTATGTCCAACTTTTCATGAAGGTCCTAGAAATTCAAACTCAAGTCCTCATGCTTGCAAAGCAAACGCTATTCCCAACTGAGCCATCTACCTAGCCCCTGAACAGACAGTTCTCAAATGATGAATACAAACAGCCAATAAACACATATAAAAATATGTCCTTCCTCACCAGTCATCTCAGAAATACAATTCAAAACTACACTGAGTTTCCACCTTACCTCTGATAGAATATTAATCATCAAAACAAGAGACAACAGTAAATGTTGACTCAGGTGTAGACACAAGGAAACTTTTATACACTGTAGGTTGGAATGTAAACCAGTCAAGCCACTATGGAAATCAGTATGGAAGGTTCTCAAAGAGAGAGAGAGAGAGAGAGAGAGAGAGAGAGAGAGAGAGAGAGAGAGAGAGAGAGAGAGAACATCATCTCAAAATAGATCTATCATGTAACGCAGGTGTACCATGGCTAGGTATTTACACAAAAGACTACAAATCAATATATCACAGAGATACTTGTTCATCAGTGTTTACTGAAGCATTATGCACAACAGCTAAGCTATGAAACCTACTTATGTGCCCAACAACACAGAAATGGATAAGGAAAATATAGTATGTGCACACAATGGAATTTTTACAGCCATAATACAGAATGAAGTTACATTTAATTGCAGAAAAATGGATACAACTGGAGATAATCATATTAATCAAATTAAGCTAGTTTCAGAAAGACAAATATTGTATGTTTTCTATCCTCTGTGTTTCCTAGATTTTATAGTCACTTAAAATCATGCATGTATATATGACAGAAAAGATGAATGAGAAAAAAAAGAGAATTTCTGTCCACAGAAATAAATGATACTGATAGGAGAGGGAAGGAGTGAGAAGAGGGAGGTTAGGGAAGAACAAGGTGGGAATGACATACCTAACATATAGTATATATACCTGAAAGGAAAAATTAAAAAGCAAAATATCAAATAAAGGTCACTGCTATTACTGACAATAAGTTCTATAAATTTATACTGTGATCCCTTCTGATATTCATTTTCCAATAAACAAGCAAAAACGTTAGGAATGAGCCAATCTGACTTTCTAATTAGCAACTATTAAACGCCTTGCTGCCTGAGCTGCCACGGGAAAAAGGAGTATCAGTCTAACAGGCAGCCAGACTATACTTGTAGCAGCACCAACTGTGGATGCCTTGAGATACAAAGATTACAACTGATTGATTGTCTTGGCTCCTAGAGGTACAATTCTAGCCAAGACTGTCTGAAATAGTTCATGCCAGACTTTTTGCAATCAGAAGTCTTGATAAACCATTTCTACCTTACTCAAGCAGGGAATCCTTTCCATTGGGGGAGGGAGGCTACACAGTATTGTGACTGATCTAAAACACAGCCTAATTGACTGGGATTGTTGTAAAATGAATGGTTATGATTGACAAATCAAATTACTATGACTTGTTCCACACATACCCCTTCCCAAACTATAGAATCAGGCAGCCTAAGCTTACTCCAAAAGTTAGCTAGAAGACACTATACTGTGCTTCCTCTCCTATATTGCAATATTGGCTCCAGAAAACATTTCTCTCACGTGGTCTTTTTACCTTTTTTTTTTTTTTTTTTTTTTTTTGTATAGTCTGAAGTGGTAATGTAAAGAGCTGGCAGTGGTAGTATTCTAAACTAACAAGTTTGTATTCCTTGAGATAAACACTGATACCATAGACTAACACATGCACTGCCTGGTTGTTTGGTAGTTGAACAAATTCCTGCCTTCGACAATAACTTGATATCAGATCGGTGATTGACAGCTGAAGAATCTACACAGGTATTGCTTGAATACAACACCATCCAGTGCCACTCATGGCACTGTACAAACCCAGCACTGCCTAGCACCACATTTACTTCAAATGTTGCTTGTGATCCCTGATACTGGGTTCCTGCTGACCAGTCCAGCATGCATTTCTGAGCCCCAAGCTTCCAAATATAAACTGTTACTGCTTTCATTGTAGCTTGACAGCTGAAGAACTGGCAGCCTTGAAGGCAGTCTCAGAAGTTAGTGCCATATTTCTAGGTGGAACTCCAAACAGACCTTCTTGTAACCAGTGCCTAGTTTGGGAGCCCAGGGCCAGGCTTCCCGGTACAGAGCACTGGCAAATGCCATTTGATAGCTGAAGAAATGATATATGTGGAGGCTTCACACCTGCACAGTGTCAGTGCCCAAAGGCCTGAATCCACCAAGCAGTGCCAACATAATAGCAGCAGAATATCGGATAATTCCACATGGGATCCCACACATCAGCAAGGATTCTGCTTTCAGTAAGAGGAGATACCCTATGCCTAAATGATCCCTATCATGCCCCATGTCCAGTTTCTGAACAACACTGACTCCCAAGCTAGCAGGTACTCCAGATGCACTATCACCCCGGCATATAGAGATTGAGAGCCCAAATTTTTGCAGAGAACAATGACAGCTGAAGAAGTAAATAAGTGGTTTGAAAGGAGCCAGTTCAGAAAGAAGATAGGGAGTGAAAGTAGAAAGACTTAGAGAGCAGGCTGAAAGAAGGCAGAAGAAAGAACCCATAGTCCCTGGTTACTAATAGAGTTCCAAAGAGCTTCTAAATCTTCAGAGTCAAGGGCTTAAGATTCCAGACAAAGAAACATAAAATGAGCTATTGCCAAAAGCCAGGAATCCATATACTCTTGGGCAACTAAGTGCCCCACTGCTAAATCCAGCATAAGGTTTGCAATATAAGAGGTTGATGCTTCTGCTGCTTTTGTCTGCCTGCTGCTATCACTTGCTGCTGTCAAACACTGAAAACAAAAAACCAAAAGATGCTAGATACCAGCATTTGAAAACTTCTTGCCTGTCAGTGATTTCTATGCAGGTAGAGTGACTGAATCCTAAGCCAGCTGCTGTATTTCACCCTCCAGTCAACCCAGCCCAATCTGTTCAATACCCCCTTATTTCTAATCTAAATTATCCTCAGGTAATTCCCATCTTTTATTCTCATTTATCAAGATGGGCACATTAATGTATGCTTTCAGTCCTCAGAGGCATGTAGTCCTAGCTAGTCCAGAACCTGAAGCAGGATGATCACTTGAACCAGCCAGAGAAACATAGTTAGACCCTTTGTTATTAAAAGAAAATAAAAAATCCTTCCCTCTACCATAAAAACCTACTAAGTAGGTAAGCCTAGATAGGGCTTTTAGATGGCACTCCAGAAGGCCAGTGCCAACTTTTATGGTTTCTCTATATTCATTCCATTGCTTACTGAAAGAATGGTATCCAAGTATCTTCCCCATGTGTTGCCCTAGTCATCTACCAAGTGCCACCTCTGTGAAAGAACTCATATTGCCAATGACCCAATAGGTTGGAAACTTAAGGCCTAGCAACTGAGTAAAGAACTAACCTTCTACTCTAACTTTTGTAAATGTGGCTCATATAAAAAGGAAAGGAAACTGGAGAAGTTCCTACAAAAGGATGGACGTGGACTCACCACAAGCAGCCCCTTCTTTTCCACCTATTTCTCAGGGTGCTTTTTGTTAAATACCCATTCTCAGTTGTTTTCTTCAGAATAGGATAAGAAAGAAAAAAAGCAAGGAGGCAAATAATTGATAAAAATAAAGAAAAGTCATTTCGATTGATGAGGAACTGGTCCCACCTGGGCTTTCCCTTCTAAACATGGCCACATATTCAGGAGTAACGACCTCAAATTCTATTTGGAACATTGAGTATATGATGCAACCTTGCAAAAGGCTTGCTACATACTGCGAACAAGAGAACCACCAGAAATTGGATAATAATAGCAATTCCGTCTAGGCAAGATTGTGACCCTCCAAGTAAAGAGAGATTTCAAGGAGGAGTATAACAGGTGTTTGGGTAGGAGTAGGTACAGGAACCCTCTGTCTCTTACCTTCCTGGCTCTCTCAAACTCTTCCCGGTTCTCCCATCGTGCCCTAATGGGCCATAGTCCCACTGAATCTCATGGGCCTCAATGAAGTATTGACGAACTTTGCCTGTGAGTTGGTCCACAGGTGCGTCCATGGAGCAAGAGTCGACCTTGTAGAGGGCCTGCATGCCACCTGGAAAAAATACACATCTTTCCCTTTCTACTGCTAAGATTCCTACTCAGAGGATATATTCTTCCTTATTTTGTCTCCTCCCATCCTCTTCTAATTTCTTTACCTCTATCTCCAAATAAGTCACTTTTCCTGACTCAACAGTCTGGCTAGTAGAAAGAGTGAGTCCAGGAAATCACTGATGCATTTATCACATCTTCATCCTTGCCTCTGCAAAGGATCTATGTTGCAGCAACATCATAAAGACTCAAGTCAGGAGACCCAAGTTTAAGCCAACTATGCATCACTAACTATAAGACCTTAGGAAGGCCTCAGTCTGAACACACATCTTCTGTAAATGAAGAGCATAAGGAAGTATGCCTCAGGGTGTTTGGAGGAATGTGGACATTGGGACTTTGGATTAGAAAAGGAGTTGAACTCTTTAAGTGGGCCTAAATGGACAATCCTAATAGGAACACAGAGGACAGTGGTTCGGATTGTGATATGAACTGTGGGGGTCTGGCTCAAGAGGTTTTGGAGAAGAATATTAGTATGAGGCTGAGAGACGGTTCTTGTGATTTTTTGGCAAAACAGAAACCTGGTGAAGATGTAATTGAACAAGGGGTTCATGTTCCATTCCCAGAAAGCAGAAGAACATGGCAGTTTTGTCCACATGGTTCTGGCTTTAGAGTCAAGGACAGAAGAAAAGGGTTATGGACTCTCCCTCCATGACTAAGGAAAGCCACTGAGGCCAGGCACGTATCAGGGGTGTCCTTGCATGGAGGCCTAGAGAGGCCATTGCGTGAAGATGTGAAGGTTAAGCCTGGATTGCCTTGGAGACCTCAAGATGTTGGAGATGCCAGAGCCATGGGATACCTGCCAAGGAGAGCTGCCAACAGGGAGTGGAACCAGCCCAAGAGAAAGAAGTGTGTTGCAGTCAACAAAGCTGAAAGGAGTTGGAGATCTGAAGAGCACTTCTACATCAGACATGAAGATGCAGAGTTTGAATTAGAAAAGCAGTTGAGCTCTCTAAGTGGGGCTTAATGGGCTGTTCTAATAGGAACATGGAAGACAGTGGTACTGAGGGTGATTTGAACTGTGGGGGCCTGGCTCAAGAGGCACTGGAGGAGAAGAATATTAGTATGTGGTTGAGAGAACGTTCTTGTGATATTTTGGCAAAACAGAAACCTGGTGAAGATGTAATTGAACAAGGGGTCCTTGTTCCAGTCCCAGAAAGCAGCAGTTTGCCAAGCTGGTTTTGGGCTTGCTTTGGTCCAGTATTTCCTCACCATGCTCCCTTCCCTCCCTTTTAGAATGGCAATGTATATCCTGTGCCACTATATGTTAGAAGTATGTGATCTGCTTTTTATTTTGATTTTATAGGGGATTACAGTTAAGATATTGCCATGAGGCTCAGAAGAGACTTTGAACTTTGGACTTTCCCAGGGTGAAAACTGTTAATAGACTACGGGGACTTTTGAAGCTTCACTAAATGCATTTTGCATTATGATATGGCTATAAGCCTATGGGGGGCTAGGGAGTGGAATGTGGTAGTTTCAATACAAATGGACCCCATAGGTCCATAAGAAGTGGCACTATTAGGAGGTGTGGCCTTGTTGGACTAGGTGTGGCTTTGTTGGAGGAAGTGTGTCACTAGGGGGTGGGTTTTTTTTTTGGGGGGGGGTCTCAAATACTCAATCCAGGTCTAGTGTGACTGTTGCTTCCTGCAGAAACAGATGTAGAAATCTCAGCTACCTCTCCAGCACATGTCTGCCTGCATGCCACCATATTTCCCACCATGACGATTATGGACTAAATCTCTAAACGGCAAGCCAGGCCCCAGTTAAATGTTTTCTTTTATAAGATTTGCTGTGGTCATGATGTTTCTTCACGGCAATAAAACCCTAACTGAGACAGGAAGATTAAGCCAAAATATTACTTCTAAATTTACCCAGCACATTAATGGCAGAGTCAAGGAATCTATCTGACTTCATTCTAGTTACTTACATCAAGAAGCCTTGAGATGGCTCCAAGCTAGAAGCCTCACTTCCTACTGACCATTAACTACACTTCCTTCACATATTCCAAGAGTGAAAAAGATTAGACCTTACTTTTCAAGTGGCTGTTCACTTCACAGCTAATTAACCAGGTTCCAGATTTCTGAGGCACCATCTCAGCAGTAACAAAGGTGGCTGGAAAAATGTGAGCAACATCAGTGCGGTGTCCACGGGTCGTCAACATCTGTCCATGGAAGAAAACTGTGTGGACGTCTATTTCATTGCCCATCCCAAACAAGTGCCAGGCTACATGCTTCTGTGCACACATGCTCAGCTCAGGTAAGTTCCCAAAGACAAACCCATTGATTGCTGCAGAAGAAAATTTCAGAAATTAGGAAAAGACAGATAAATGGGAAAAGCCTTTTACCATCTGATAAAAAGAGCAGATAGCATTCAAATGAAGTTTTAAAGAGCACACTGCACTGAACATATGCCTTATTTCATTTAAATTTTACAAATAATTAAAATAAATAGGCAAATACCATTAGTCTCAATCAAAAAATTGAGAAAACGAAGACATACAGAAGTGAAGTTACTTCTATGTAAGACCACAGATCTATTAAGTAATAAAATCACTATTCCAAATCCAGTGATCTGAAGAAGTTCTGTGAGTTTTTTTCCAAGTCATTCTTTCCTTTCTGGCCAGTTTCCTTCTGAAATTTCCACAGTATGACTGTTACATTGCCTGACTATCATGGCCACTGTAATCTATTCTTATAAAATTCAAGATAAATTTAAACTACCTAATCCATCCTTTACATCTTTCCACTAAGATTTCATCTCCTTTATGGCTTTGAGTATATCCCTATAACCCAAAGTAGCAAATAACTGACTCCACTAACAAAAACAAAGTCAGGATAATTCTATTCCTAAAATCATTTCTCTGTTCATGACTTGGGACTCTGTACTTTTATTTATCTTTAATTTAATCAATATAACCATTTCCTGTGTAGACATTAACCAATTAGCCATTGAACTCCAGACATGCTGACCCCTATGATTTCCCTAAATATGAGACACTCAACTGCATAATTTGTGGGGAACCATATTCGTGTTCTCCCCTAATTAAAAAAATAGATATAAGCAAAAAGTAGAATATAAGGAAGGTATCTTGAAAGTAGTCATTTTTCTCGACAAAGTAGATAATTATGCTATCTTGCATACTTTTAAAACCAAGGCAATATTAATTACTTATTTCAGTGGGCAACTCATTCAGGTGACTAAGTATATCATATATGATTCAGAATCAATAATCCTGTCTATTCTACACTATGAGAAAGATAGTCTTAATGGCAAGGGTACAGCCTGCATAACTGGAGAGATCAGAGGTGAGATTTGAGTTGTACCATTTTTTGATCCATAATGTTATGATACTTAATATTTTCAAAGACAAAAGAAAATCCACATACCCATGGTCTTTCCACCTACTCTTGGTCGTTGTGAGTATTAAAAGGACAACAGATATGGATGAACCCAATAAATACTAGGCCTAGTGGAAAGTCTACATAAGTGTCTCCATTGTCACAATGCAGCCACTCCCTCCTAGCTCACCATGCATCCTGTTGCTGTCTTGAAATTCTTCATCTTCTTTGTCCACTGAGGTGGGGTCTGAGCAGTAAGTAGCAATGTTGTCATCCAGGTGCCAGCTAAGGTTCTCATCTATCACACTGAAGAGGAGGAAGAAATTATGGTCCACATCCTTCCTCTGAGGTGGGGAGTTATCATCCAGGGTCCCTGGGCAAGCATAAAAGATTATCCTTAATAATAGGATACAAGGGTTTCTCATAAGAAAAAATAGGAAAAGAGGGGAGAGGACGTTATAGGGCTGTCAACAACAGACAATGTTTCTGATGCTACTTTTCATTTTCAAGATTGCCAGATGAACCTGTGACATAAAGGAGGAAAACACAGGTCCTAGAATAATCCTCCCATCATCCTTAATGCTTAGTGCTTAGACCTCAGCCAATTCCTACAATCCCTTGGTCTTCAGACCCAACTACTCCTTGAGAATAACCCACTCCAAATCAAGCAGCTGAATCCCGATGCCTGCATTTTCCATCTGATTATCAATTACCTTTTTCAAATGTGAGTTGTCTGTCATCATCACTAATTTGAATTTTAAAAGTGAAATGGGAAATAACAGAAAAGTAGTGGGGTTATTTAGTGAGTATTTTTTTAAAAAACACAACAATGGAAAGAGTTTAGCAGGCTAATAAATGGGTACCATTCAGTTTCTACTCAATACGATCTCGATTTAACTATCTCACTGCTTCCCATAGATGTTCCAAATTGCATCTTATGGCTGGTTGTCTAGGTAAGTACCTCTTTTACAGGTGATAAGGGGTCCAATGAGACCAGTTGCAATATCTCGTGGAGCATCTACATGAGAATGGTAAATCCAGGTGAGGCATGCTGGGTCTGCACTAGTGGGTGCATGGCCTTCTGGAATAGTCCAGTTGTAGACATGGCTGCCTCCAGGGGGAACAGAATCATCAGCTTTCAGGTACCCAGAAGAACCATCTGGGTATAGTGAGCCTACAAAATAAAAATATGCAAGTCTGATACCAGGGTGAGTAAGATTATAGCAGATATAAAATCAAAAAGAAGGCATTAGTCAGTGAGATCACTCAGCAGGTAATTACTGAGCAAGCCTGGTGATCTGAGTTCAATCCCAAGAATCCATGTAAAGCCAGAAGTAATAAACAAACTCCACAAAGTTGTTCTCAGCATGTGTACTGTGACATCCACACACTCCCCAATACACACATCATATACAAATATACAATGATAATAAATTAAGTTGGAAAATATAAAAAATGTGGAATACTCAAGTCCAAGATTCAGTACTAGAGTGTTCCTCACCTCAGTCCTCACATCAACAGGCAAGAGAGAGAAGCTACTATAAGTCACACACTACTTCTGGATCTTAAGATCTTTCTACACCCTCTTCCCTACTCATTCCTGAGCCCTGGGAGAAAGGACACAATATTGATATCCCAATTAGGGCTGAGAACTCTTCAGTTCCTAATTCTCTGCATACTGATCAGTTGTGGGTCTCTGTATTAACAGCTATCTACTACAAAAAAAAAGCTTCTTTTCACTCGGGAGGCAGAGCCAGGCGGATCTCTGTGAGTTCGAGGCCAGCCTGGGCTACCAAGTGAGTCCCAGGAAAGGCGCAAAGCTACACAGAGAAACCCTGTCTCGAAAAACCAAAAAAAAAAAAAAAAAAGCTTCTTTGATGGTTTGAGAGACGTTTTCTGGGTGTAAGAGGGCAGTTGCACACATCACACATAAACTCATAGTGGCAGGAACTGCATGCACAGGACCTGCAAAAGATCAAGCAGAGCAGGTAGGGGAGTGAATCATGAAGTTTCCCTTTTATTTGAAGAGATAATGGCAAATGAGGGCTGCCGAGAGAGGAGAGTCCATTTTCTTTGGGATGTGGCCCCAGAGTGGCTACTCTTGCTCCAGTTAATGGTCCTCCACCCATGCACAAACTGGCAGGGCTAAGTGGAGTACTGAGTCCACTTTAAGAAAAAGAGTGCATGAAGTTGGGAGGAGGGAAGAGTGGTACAAGGATAGGGAAGACATTGTAGGAGAGGGGCTAGGTGAGGGGATGTGAACTTGATAATGTACTTTTTTAAGTATTAAAATTAAGTGAAAAAATAATTAAGAGTTCTGAGATACATAGAAATCACTTGGGAAGAGCTATATTCAGAAAAAATCATGTTTAGTTTAAATGGTATGAAAGCAAGGAAAAAAGCAGAACTTCCTTCCAAGCTCCCATTGCAGTACAGTTCTATTAACACTCAGGAGATGGAGGATCTCCAGTTAAAATACCAGCCTGGATTATATAAGGAGAGCCAGCCTGAGGGTAAGGGAAGTCTTTGGTTTCAAGCACTTACTTTGAAATGCAAAGAGCAAATAATCCCATTTTAGCTTAAAGTCAATTTAATGACCAGTGGGCTTACTTCCTCATTGTAGAGAAAATACAGAAAATAAAACTGAGTCATTTTTATTTCTGTACATTAAAAAAAAACTCTCTTCTAACAATATTGATTTGGTGAAAGGGGTTGTTTGATTGATTGACATAGGGTTTCACCAGACATCCCAAGGTAGCTTGGAATTTACCTTCCTCCTGCTGAAATCATAGGTGTATATCACCATAGTACTATTTACTACCTTATGATTTACAAAGTGTTATTGTTACATGCATCCTACCCTACCAGGCCATAGAACACCAAAACTTATTCCTCCTATTTGTGACATTGAACTTTGAGTAATCTGTCCCCACTCTTATCCTTTCTTTGCCCCAGCCTCTGGTGACTACTATTTTATTCTCAACTTCTATGATAACAACTACTTTAGATTCCATACATAATGAAATCATACAGTATTTATCTTTCTGTATCTGTTTCAGTTCACTCAACGTAGTGTTCTTCCAGGTTACTCCATGTTGTAATAAAACAAAATATGTATTTCCTCTCTAAGGGTGAATAACATTCATATATGTGTGTGTGCATGCATGTGAAATTGTCATATTCATATACTCATATACAATATTCATATATATTTTTTTCAGATATGGGGATGGGACCCAAGGCCTTGCAAATCTAGCCTCCATATCCTCAGTCCTATATACCATTTTCTTTGTCCATTCATCTGTAGATGGACATTTAGGATGATTATATAATCTGGCTATTGTGAATAGCTCTACAATAATCATGGGAGTATATGTCTCTTCAACATGCTGATATCATTTCCTTTGGATATATACGTAGTAATGGGATTTCTGGGCAGTAACATAGTTCTAATTTTAGGAACATTGGTACCTGATGGCTATATTAATTTACCTCCCTATAAACAGCATAAAAGAATTCCTTTTCTCTGCATTCTCATTCCCAATTAGAGCTACTGACGTCCCACTTTAACTTCTTCACTAACTTAATATCTGTTTTAGGCCATTGTGCCTCGAATGTTAGAAGATGCTAAAAAAAAAAATGAATATACTCTTTTAAAAAGAGAGAGATGTTCTGGAAGACTCTGGAATCAGAACAGCACTCCATGACTTTTACAGAACTTCTCTCTCAAAAGCATATTCACATACTCAGTAAAAATGGAATTCAAATAGTTCCTTGTCATAAAAAAGGGACTGTGTCTTCATGTTCCTCATATAGAATCTGAAGCCCAGGGAAGTCAATGTCTTGCCCAAGTTACACAATGTATGTATTGGTACACAGCCATGTTTACTCTAAGTAAAGTTTTGCTGTGGCAAATCAGTAAGTAAGAAAAATACCTATTTTGGACTGGGCATGATAACATCCAAGCACTCAGGAGGCTTAGGAACGAGAATCATGAGTTCTAAACCATCCTTAGCCACATAACAACATTCTGTTCAAAAGGCCAAGAAAACAGAGAGAGGGGTAACTCTTGATCCAAACTCTTTCTCAGATGGCAATAAAGGAAAAGTGATACTTTGGAGAAATGAAAGAAAGGAAAGGTAGGCTGCTTTACCTTCTGAGTCCTTCTCATAGAAAACTCCATGAGGGTGAATAGTATAAGGCCGACTTGCAAAATTCTTCAGGTGGATAAGAATGACATCCCCCACCTCAGCCTGGACCAGTGGTCCTAGGAACCCCAGCCAGGCAGGCTTGGCTACTTCGTCAGTGTATGTTCCATCACTGTATTCCTTATACACAGTCTTCTTGTAACTACTCCCTATCCTGTTTTTGCCAGACTTTAGGAAGCTGGAAGCCACTCTGAGAAAATGCAAGACAGAATTACAACTTTTCTACCATCTTCAAACAACTGGAACTGGAAGTTTCTTTCCTAGAGAATGCTGACAAAAGAAAAGAGGAATTGTATTGCACTTGTGAACATACGATGTGAAGTAGGAAGTTGAGTCATATCAAATTTCTGAAATTTGACCAACATTTAACATACAAAGAGTCACTTTTACATGGTGCAAACAAATGTACAATGTAAAGGAGATAACCATCTGTATAATGATTCTTTTTAAATGATAACTCCTCATTCATGTAACCCTTAACATCGTGCTGCTATACAGAGAGAGCAGAAGATCATAGTGGTTCTGACCACAGGCTTTGGAGCCAGACCACCTGGATTAATTAGCAGCTGCTGATTTTGAAATCTTTGGAGCATTCAACAAGCTGCTTTAACTTCTATGTAGATACTTTCACCATCTTCCAAATGAAGATTACTGCAGGATCTGACTTTCAAAGTTGTTATGGTGACAAAAAATGTATTTATGTCTGGGGTCTTAAAACACATGGTTAGCATGCATAATGCCTTGGATTTGATTCTTGCAAATATAAGAAACAAAAAAGTAAATGAAAACTTTAGGAATTTTTAGGACCTGGAAAATTGCAAAAACTCAATGCTATTACTTCAAATTATTAAGGTGAGTGGTTAACTGTTACTCTGTCAAGAGCAATTTCAATACAAGAATTCTGACTCCAAAGTTGGATGAATGGTTTGTGTCAAAAGACAGCTTATGCTGGCCATGCATCTCAGTTGTAGAACACTTGCCTACAATATATGAGGTCCTAGGATGGATGCCAGCACTACAAAAACAGAAAGAGAAAAGCAGAGTTGTTAGTACTTCAAGATGGAAAACTTTGAGCTTTGGAGAGACAAAATGAACCACCATTGCAAAAGGTGCTTCAATACAATCATCCATTTTCTTTAACTTTTGGTGAAGCACCAACCAGTATCTAACATCAAGAAAAGTTAAACCTTCCCATTGTTTGGGAGGTTGCGGCATGAACATTGTCATGTGTTTAAACACAGCAAGAGTTGCATAGTGAGTTCCAGAATAGCCTGTGGCAGAGTACAAGTAAGATCTTGTCTTAGGAAACAAAAAAGAGAAAGAGAAAGGGGAAAGGGAGAGGAGAGGGGACAGAGGATCAGAGGATGCAGATGAGTAAAAAAAGAAGAGATAAGGAAAAAAGAAAGGAAAGTTTGTTTAATCATGTGAGGGGTACAATGGTAAAAACAAAATCAAGCCGGGCGGTGGTGGCGCACGCCTTTAATCCCAGCACTCGGGAGGCAGAGCCAGGCGGATCTCTGTGAGTTCGAGGCCAGCCTGGTCTACAGAGCGAGATCCAGGAAAGGCGCAAAGCTACACAGAGAAACCCTGTCTCGAAAAACCAAAAAAAAAAAAAAAAAAAAAAAAAATCAAATACACACATCTATTTGACAGAGATTCAAATCCCAGCTCCTCCATTTATTGGTAATAGGATTTGGATGAGTCACTTGATTTTCATGAGCCTGTTTTATCATCTATAAAATCAAGACTACCTATAGTTACATGTTTCTCAGTGGTAGAGTTCATGTTTATCATGTACAAGATCCTAGGTTCTATCCTCATACCACAGTATTGATAATATTCATACTTCCTAAGGATCTTTTGGGAAGTGAATGGTGTATTTGTAGATATCTAGTATAGCATCTCCCTTAGAGCTCTTGTCTAGGAGTATCTGTTACTGTCATGTCTTTGCTTATAAGACTTTTTCACGAATCTAGAATTCGGGTATTTCCACCAAACTACAAGAGAATAGTTCCACTACACATGTCTTACAAATGCTGCATCCATTACATTTAACAAAAATAAACCAAATAACTGTTACTAGATGGGCATTATGAATCCCATCTTAGATGCAAAGGAATATGGACTTATCTTTAGGAATCTAAAAATGCTGAAGTGCTTCATTGCAGAAAAACAAACTTGGGATGGGATGTTGGGTCCTAAAACAACTTACTTTCCAGGAAACTTGTTGTTGTATGTGTGGCCCAAAGAGATTGGAAGCTGGCTGCTATGGTACTCTGAGAAAGTACCCTCAAAAGACTACTGCTTGACCTCAAGAATATCCTCTTTTATCTGTACCTCTAATAATACATGAGATTAAACCTACATGTCATTGTTCAGAGACTGGTTTGTGATGACATTTCTTCCTTTTGGAGCATAGTTCCACTGCACATCCTGGATGCCCAGGTAGTAGTTTCGAATGGCTCCATCAGTTGGCAGAAGCCACAAGGAGTGCATGAACAGTAAAGCCCAGAGGAAATGGCCTGTCTTCATGGCCCACACTACTTTGAGAACCCAGGAATGGAATCTGTTGGCATGAAAAAAATATATAAAAGAAAACAAAGAAATGTTGCATGTAGATGGAAAACTGTAGAAGCAAGAAACAGATGAGATGGCTGAAAAAACAAAACCCAATTCACCCAGGTTTTTTTTTTAACCTCACTAGATTCCTTTCAGTCCAACAAATATTCAGTGGCCTCTATACACAGGTTGTTAGAGAACAAAGTTAAAAATTCACCTGTACCACTTCCTTCAGAAGAGAAACCTGAATTCTGTTCTTTCAGCAGTGTGGAAGAAAGAATGTACTCTGACCCTCAAATCAGGAACCAGTCACCAGAATCATGATTAGGCTATACTGGCTGACTTGGTACCTTAATCAAGTCAGTAATTCTTCCTTTGCCTGTTTTCCCTTAAGCAAAAATGACTCATAGCTGCTACTTCCCATAATCAATAAATTATATTTAGAAACACATGAAAAGTCATCAAAAGACATTTACTGGAATAGTCATAGACCCAAAATGAGAACTGCCAAAATGCCAATCAATATTAAGATGGTTGAATAAATTGCATTTTACTTACACATTGGAATTCAGAATGGCAGTAATAATGAACAAGCTACGACTATGCACAAAACTATGGCAGATGCAACTCTAAGGAAAGAAACAAAACACAAAAGCATACATACTGTATGATTCTCCCAGGTAAAGGGCAAATTACGGAAACTGAATCTGTGCGACTGGAAGTAAGGATAGTTGTTTACATTTGCACACTGTACGTTAGTCCCTGAGTGCCATCACAACCACTATAAAAAATACAGATAATGTTCACCCTTGAAGCTAAGATTGGTGACTGGGAAGGGAAGAGTCATGTTCTATTTCTTTATCTGTATTCGATTTATATGGATGTGGTTGGCTTCTGAAAATATTCTGAGCAATAGAGGATTTATAAACATTTTGCATATATTTCATTTTGGCTTTAAAAAGGTAAAAAGACAGAACAAAAATAAATGAAAGTATGTGAAGGAAGTAGTTTGAACATCTTAGCTTCTCAGCTGGTTCCCAATGCTGTACATAAATTCATTACACAGGTTCCAGCCTGATTCACTGCGATACTCAGCCTTCTAGCCTCTTATTTCAGTGTTTTAAGCAAGTTTAGAATTCTTGAACCTGGGAGGGAGGCACTAAGTCATACTATATGTGGATCAAAACCAGAAACATAAACACACATTAACATTTGCACACATTATTTTACTTAAAAGCACAGCTGCACATATTTACATCCACATACAGCCATATTGTCAACATAGAGACACCATCACCTTCACAATAACAACAATAGTAATAAATAGGTATCTATTGTGTCTATTGTGTGCTCATTCTAACCATCTAACACAAATACTTTAAGCCTGACAACCACCCTATGAAGTAGATGTCATTATTTCCCATGATATAGTGGAGGAATTGAAGAACAGAGATGTAAGGTAATTTGTTCAAGGCCATCTTAGTTAACAAATGTTAGAGTTAGGATTTAATTCCAGGAAATATGACTCCAGCACCTATGATGCTGGCACAAACATACTTGCACACTCATTCATATACACACTGAAAACATGCATATATACTCACAGTCACAGCTATATCTAGAAAAACTGCATTCATTCTAAAATATGCAATTGCATGTGGCTATGTTTACTTTAGAAACGGAGAGATAATCATACAAGGAGATAATCATAATAATGATAATAACTATGTTTCACTGAGATATGACTAAACACAAAACACCATGTTCAGTGCCTTAAACAGTTTCATTAAATATTCAACTCAAAGCATAAGTAATAGTGACTATTACCCCAAACTAGAAACTCACTCTCTACTGGGTGTGGTGTTGCATGACTAATTTCAGCACTCAGGAGTTTGAGGCAGGAGGATCACATGTTCAAGCCCAGCCTGGGCTACATACAGAGAAGGGACATTGTAAAATTAGTGAATCGCCTAATTAATTCAAGCCTAGTAGCACAAAAACCTAAAAGAGATGGACAGATTCACATATGGATAGGAAGCACTCACATATTCACCTTAGGTAGGCCCAGATAGGTACTCTGATTAAAATCAAACTTAAAGACTTTTTTAAATGAACTCTCAGGCCGTTCAACATACAGCAACTGTGTGAGTATTAATCACCATCTCCAAATTATGTCTAGCAGAAAGCCCTAGATGTAAAGACAGGCCTGTTTGGCGGGGAGGACTTCTTGCAGAAACCTGGATATCCCACTGATTGATTATATATCCTGATTATTATTTAACAGCTATGATCTTGCTTATTCATATGTAAAGTGGATTTATTATCAGCCTTGGAAGAATAAAATCAGAAAATTTACCTAAAAGAACCCTAGTAATATCAGTGATTACAACACAGAAGCCAGTTCCTTCTGCAAGCTTTGCCTTCACTCTCCTAGCTAGCTTGCTAATGTATCCTTGCTGTTTCCTAAGAAATTGCCTTCGTTTATAAACCACACTGGACTATAAAATCCGTGAGAGTGGATGTCGAACAATACAGGTGCCTGTGTATCTATGGTCAGATGTGGTCAGAGGGCCTAGCAGGCAGGCCATAGCAGCTACTGCTAAAGTGGAAGGAGAATAGGCATGCGCACTCTCGCCTGTTCGCTCGAGTCTAGCTTCTAGCACTAATTTGAATAGTGACTTCAGTCTCTTTACCTTAATGAGCCCCAGTTTCTCATCTATAAAACAGTGAAACATACAGAGCTGAACCATACAGTACTTACAATTGTAGAAGTTGAGGAAACTTTAAATCTAATAGAACACACATGTGCATAACTATGAAAAATGTGGGATTGAAAAAGTTCTCAGACTCATTTCTCTCACATGATGTCAATACTCACATTTGCTGATGAAACACAGGTACTGTCACATGTACCTACATACAATACTATGCATGGAAACACAGTTAGCCATTCCTTAGGACCCTCAACCTGGAAGGAATAGCCTTTGTTCAATGGATGTCTGAATGTAATCTGGACCTCGTTCAAACTTCCTTCTCAAGGAGATACCATCAAGGCAGCTGTGCCTTCAGCTTATTTACCTAGAAAGAAAACAGTTCCAGGTAAGAGTTCCATGACTGCAGTCTCACAGGATAATCTTGGAAATGTCTGGAGAGACTTAGTACAGACCATTAGCATAGAACGAATACGAATTCACAGTTTGAAAATGGTAACTAAAATCCCAAAGTATACATAATATAGAACCTAGCAATATTTACTTTACAATATACTTTTCATAGCTGCAAACTTATTTCTCATAGTTCTGTAAGATGTGGATTGCTTTCCTTGTTAGCAGCACAGAGGCTTTGGACTCATAGAGTTGTGAAGATTACATAACAAGCTATACCTATATAAAGCACAAATAAGTGCTTATGTACACAAGCTAGTTATGAGAAAGTAATAGTGGATATTATTATTAAAACTGAAGAAATAGATTTGAACATAAAACCACCCACTATCACAAAGCTTTACCTGTTTTGGTTTTGTTTGACTCCTTTTTTCTTTCTGGTTCTGGGAATCAAATCCAAGTCACTCATTGCACAAGCAAGGAAAGTACTCCTAGCCCAAAGCTTACAATTTTATGGATAATGACAGACATGTATGCATTGTACACATCAGTAACACATTCAATGTATAGAAGCACTCTTACACTGGCATAAAATGTACACGTTCCAAGCTGACATTCTCTTCTTGGAAGAAACTTGATTTAATGGGAACTAGACCTTGGGCCAGTTATGGTGACACACACCTATAACTCTAGTACTCATGGAGGTGAAGGGTGAGGCAAGAAGATCAAGAGCTCAAAAGCCAATCTGGGCTATATGGTAAGTTCCAGGTTAACCTGCTGTCTCTGTCTCCCTGTCTCTGTGTGTATATGTGTCTCTCAATATATATGGAACCAGAACTTAGCATCAGATAAACTTAGTTGTGAGTACAATCTGTTTTGTGTTGAAATAAGATAATGTATATCGAATCTGGAACTTATCAAGCATCTTGTAAGTACCAGTTTTTCTTCCTTTAAATTACTGACTTCCTATCCTTCTGCCTTGAGACTGAATTTGTCATTGCTGTTGTCATTTATGTTGTTTACTTTGGTTTTTATCATACACTTTAAGAGCAGAGGAAAGGAAGAACCCATAAAATTCCTTTAGAACCACTTGGACATTTCATGATAAATGTGGAAAGTATCCAAGCAGCAATAAAAAGAGAGAGAGCGAGAATCCACTTCCATATTCACTGTTTATTCATTATATGACACTGAGTCTAAGCTCCTTGTTCCTTAAATAGTGCAAAGCTTTACCTTGGGCCCCTCAATGGTTTCTTATGAAGACTGAATGAGATGAAAGACATGAAATCCCCATGTAAACTTTTCCTTAGGGCTATGACATGTTTCTTGCTGCTGGGCCTGCAGAGAAAAGCCAAACCAGTGTGGAAAAAGAAAAACAAGAAATGAGAGCAGTAAGGTGAGTATAAGTGTTAGGTAAAAGCACAGAGGAAGTCTCTTTAAGAAGTAAAAAAGTAAGAGCCATTCAGAGTAAAGAAGAGCTAAGGGTGCTTTCTGGGCTACTTGGAATTCAGTATAATTTAATTAATGTACACCAAAATCTTGTTTCAACCTGCGTAGACAGTCAAGCCTCTCCTTCCTTTCAGTTACTATGGTCCCTAGGTCTAGACCTTATCAACCACAGCAATTTGCATCAAGGTTTTCCCTAGAATTTGCAAGCTGCTCCTTTAATGTGATAATGCCTTTTTTCTCTTCCTTTAGTCTCGTCTTAGTTAACTAGACTAGGTTTAAAAAAGCTCATCCTAGATTTAAAAAAATCACTAAACTGAATAGGAATTTGGAGCCTCCAGCCTCTCAGCAGCCTTCCTCAGACTGGCCTGTCAAGATTCGCCTTTTAGCTCCCTGCTTTCTTAACATTTTGTCACTCTGTTGATAGAAAAAATAGTGATGCTAATGACCCTCATTCAAATTCCATCTCCTGCCTGTATGAGTTATCATTCAGTCAATTATTTTCACTTCTGTGAGCCTCTGCTTTCTCATCCTCAAAATGGGGATTCTGATTATTTCAGCTGTTTCACAGGACTGTTTTGAGACTCATATAAATGATGCATATCTGAAGCAATATACAAGTAGTTTGTTTGTATACTATATACAAATAGTATAGCGGATACTCAGTAATGAGAAGCTGAATAAACTATATACTTCCATGTCTACAAAACCCTTAGAAACCATTTTTTTATGTGTGTGGTTGTGAGATACTTAGAAACAATGATGAAAGGGTTGGCTCAAAATCATGCAGCCAGTTAGCAGCAAGGCCAGAATTCGAATCCATGCTTAATAAATTTTGGTAATTAAACACTAAGCACTCTTTAAATGATTCTTAAAATAATTCACATTTTAGTGTGACTCAAGTATCATTTACTGACTCTATCTGTGCCTATCTTGTCTGAAAAAATATGAAAGCTAGCATAGTTGTTTTTAAGGGTTGTGACCTCCTATTCATGGAATTTACAGTTCCATGATCTCAATAAAACTTCCCAACCTGAAAGACAGAAAATGAGCAGGCTGTTTAGACAGCAAGATGAATTATTCTCGATGACTTCAAGATTGTCCCAGAAACAGTGGAAGCAGTGAGATTCTGGAACAAAAGGAAAGCAGTCTATTGTCTCCTGTTACTTCTCTGTGCACCTAACCAAACTTCCTCCAACTCGCAGTCCACCTACTTTCTTTCCCAGTGGCCCTGGACTCTTCTAAAGCCAACTGAATAAGCATTCTGCCTAGGAAGGCAAGTGAGGTTGTTTCAAAAGAGAAAGAAGCTTACCTTTGTTAGGGAAAACCCTTCCTTCCTTTCTTCCTCCCTTCCTTCCAAATTCATGTCAGCGGCCCATCAGTGCTGAACTGCAGACCCCAGCCTGAGCCTGCCAGCCCTGTTTACTTAGTAAACACGGTTACAAAGCTCTTCCCATGAATTAAATCTAGGGCTCCTGTCTGGCGAGGATTACTGGGGTGAGTGATAGGGGGAGGGGACAGTGCTGGGTGCCCTCTTTTCCACAAACTAAACTACTGGAATGTCCTGTTCCCGCCGGTTTGGTACAAAACCCGGGGTGGTTCTTTGACAACATCCGGGTGTTTTCCAAATCCTGGTGAGGATCTCCGGAGGAATTACAAGGAGGTGGGCTGTTATATAGCTTGCTAGTTGGCTTTGCTGGACTGGGATCAAAATGCATCTTCAGTGTGGCCAGCCAAAGCCCGCAGGCAGATTCCAACTGCCTGGGTTAAGAAATAGGAAGACAAGGGGTATAACTCAGTAGAAAGGCTGATAAAGATGGTGACAATAGTAATACCACAATGATCTCTTAAAAATTAAACTGTAGTCTGGATTTTTTATTTTTTATCCAAACATCGTTTCTGTCCCTTCTGCAAAGAAAAGGCAGTGAAAAGTCATTGGACTAAATAGAACCTATGTCCCAGCTCTTCTGGCTTTGGCAATAATTAGCTGAGTGAATTTGACCTAGGCCCTTGCTTCACTTGGCCCCTTTCCGTTTGTATGATAAGAGCCTTTAAGTAGATATGAACCCATTTATCTCCGTAAAATCACAAATTGATCATTTTATGAAGGTGCATTCTAAGTAATAAGAGCAGTTGAGAAAGAAATGTAAAGAAAGAATGAGTGAAGAGGGAATCATGAAGATGCAGCTGAATATCCCATGTCTTGTTGGGAGGGGCTATTTCTACCCACCAGACTCCCCAGATCCAGGAAGGGTATAGGTAAGACAGCAGTCTACACCCTGGTGTCCTTACTTTGTGATGAGGAGATCTCCCCTGGGAGCAGAGTGTCTTCTTCACTCGGACTGTATATGCTTCCTTTCCCCGAACCAGAAGCACTTGGAGTAGGAGCCACGAAAGAGGACTGTCATAAGACTGAAAGTCCCACTGAGCTGGTAGGGCAAAGTCTGAATCATAAACACCTAGAGGTTTTAAGGCTACTCAGCTACTGAGGAGTTGCCCTACAAATTGCAGCCTAGGCCAAAGGAAGTGGAAGTTCGAGTAAAAAAAAGGGAGGAGCCACCAGACTCAGCTACCTCAGAAACACGCAGTGGTCAACAGCAGCTGGATTGGTTTATAAGCAGCACGTAGGATTACCTGCCTGACATACGTGTGGACCTTGAAGCTAGAGGGGGAAGGTGGGGACCAAACCCATTAACCTGGGATCCAAGTCCAGGCTCTAAGGCATTTATGACAGGGAAGGGAGGGGAAGGGATAAGGGCTGTGCTCTGACTCATGAAACACAAGAAGCGGGTCATTATAGATGCTCTTGAGTCAACACAGTAAAGACTACAAGCAAGTGAGGCAAGATTTCCGGGCTTGTATTCTTTAGTCACAGATTTCACTGAGAGTCTAAGTGGTGAACACCTCTCATACAAATCCTGCATGTCTCTGGTGCTTTCTCTTGGGAGTCATTTGAAACATATTTTTAAGCAGCTGCCTGTAGACCACAGGTTGGCAAGCTTTAAAGTAAAGTGTTACTTAGTATATATTTTATTTTTCTAGAGTAGATAGTTTCTATGTGCTACAACTTTTCAAAATATATTTCATATGATCTATCTACATTTCAACGGTAAAAAATTATAAAACAAAAGCAACAGAAAAGAGCTATAGAACTTTATCATTTTCTTCTTTCTTTTCTTTTCCTTCTTTTTTTTTGATATATGAACAAAAACATTTGAACTACATTGCAAGGAGTATGGAATCGGTGTCTAGTGTCCTTGACTGAAATCACAGTTGTGCCGTTTCCAGATAATGCAAACTTGGAAAAGTATTTTAATCTTTCCAAATGTAAATTTTACCCTTTGTGAAATAGTGTTTTGTAGGACTATTATAAGGAGTGAAATAAAATTATATACGTGAACATGGTGACTGGCACATAGTAAAATGCTGTAGATGACTGATTGATAAATAAAGTGCTGATTGGCCAGTAGCGAGGCAGGAAGTATAGACGGGACAAGAAGAGAAGAGAATTCTGGGAAGTGGAAGACTGGTGGAGAAAGATGCCAGCCCACCATCCAGGGAGCAGCATGTAACAGGCACACAGGTAAAGCCACAAAACACGTGGCAACATCTAGATTAACAGAAATGGGCTGAGTTTAAGTGTAAGAGCTAGTTAGTGGTAGGCCTCAGCTAATGGCCAAGCAGTTTTAAATAATTTTAGCCTGTGTGTGTTTATTTGGGTCTGAGTGGCTGTGGAAAGACAAAGACACAGGACCTGGGTGGACACAGGAAAATTTCAACTATAAATGGCATTAGAACATTGGGCAAGAATTTCCACCTAAAACCTGAGAAATCTTTAAAAAAAATCTAAAATGGAGCTAAATCACCTTCCTAGTTGTGTCTCATGCCAGCAGTCAGACGCCACAACATGCAGGCTTAAGGTACTCTATGGCAGGTTCATGGTGTGCAGGTTTGACCTGCATGCAATGTGACAGATTCCAAGCCATGCATTACGCTGCATGGTCGATTTAGCCTTTGCTAGTACAAAAAAAAAAAGGAAAAAAAAGAAGTTTCTGGGCTACACACTGCTTTAATAGAAGCATAGACCCACTGCCTCCCAGAATCAGTGGACAACATGGCTCCCAGCACTGTCAGTAAATTATCTCCACCATGTTGAAAAGCTAAGACTTCTGCTTCAGTACTAACTGCTGCAGTTTAAAAACAATAGGTTCACAATAAGACAGATTCAAATGAAATAGTTTACAATGTGTGTAAAAAGTGTACATAGGCTTGAAAGAGAGAAAAAAGAAATATATGCAGTTATATAAAGAAATAGTTTTTAAAATAAAGTCTTTATAGAGACAATAAAGGTAGTATAAAAATAAGCTACGTAAAGATGGATATTACATAGAGAATCTGGACTGTGTTGTCTTTGATATTTTTAACTGCAGAGAGACATTTGATTGTAAAGGCAGATGAGTTAAACCAATATGTATATTTTAAAGGTATCTTGACTTCAAAATTTGGATCTAGTATATGTTACTTTAAAAAGGAGGCTCTGCTTTTGTTTCCACAGAAAGCCAGAGGCTATGGATTTGTTCCAGATTAAGATACATCAGGTTTGACCAGCTAAGACTCCCTGAAAGGTCTCCATTGACACCATGGCCCAGATCATCCAACATCCAGAATGATTTCAAGGCAACTGGCTCAGACAATACACCCTCACGGACTATTCCATAATCCTAAAATTTTCTTTATGTACTCATAAGATACAGTGCCCTCATCCAGCAGGAAGTAGTATGAGAAGTTACACCCAAATTCCCAAATATACCAAACTGGCTTTGGAGATGGAATTGGTTCACTCCTTCTCTGAACCCAAGTGTATTGCTAAAAGAAAAGGTTGAGAGATTTTTTTTTTCTCCTAGGTCCCTGACATATCTAGTCTAAGATTTCTGGCCACACAGGCAGTGTCATTTGATGGAATGGGTCTTAAATCCAATCAGATAGTGGTTCATTGTTCCCACAAGTTTTGTGATACTATTGCACCAGCACATCTTGCAGGGGAAGTCACCTTTGTAGATCAAAGAGTTTTTAGCTGGATTGGTTTTTATCTCTCTCCTTTGGTAGCGTGCACATTACTTTCCAGTGCTGTGAGCACAAGTCAGCAGAGGTGAAGGTTCTAGTCATGCATCAACTTGACTTCTCCATGTTCAATGAATTGCATAGGTGTTGTCTTCAGCTAGGGGGACTTACCATCAGTTTGTGGAGAAAAACCAATAATTTGATGGTAGCTATTCTGGCTGGGGTCAGGTGGAATCTCAAAAGAGTTTTAATTCTCAGTTTTCTAATAGTTGAGGACACTGAAACATTTTTTCAAAAATTTATTTGCCATTTGCACTTCTTTTGAGAACTGTTTGTTTGGCTCATTACCAAATTTATTGATTGGATTTTTATCTTAAATTTAAGTAGTTCTTTATATGTATTCTAGGTACTAATCCTTTCTCTAATGTATGGGTAGCAAAGGCTTTTTTTCTGTTTGGTAGGCTGCCTCCTCACTCTGGTGATTATTTCATTTTGTATGCATAAGCTTTTTTTAACTCATGTTTTCCTCTAGGTGTTTCAATGTTTCAAGTGTTACATTAAAGTCTTTAGTGCATTTTGAATTGATGTCAAGGATGAATATATATATATCTCCAAGCATCGTCTGTACTTCCTTTTATTATCATCCTAGTCTTTGTATCAAGGTCCACATCAATGATAACAGGTTTCTTTTTAAAGCTTAGCATTAAATATTAAATATCTTCCCCATTTTAATATTACATTACTCTAGCAAGAAAAAAAAAGGTTTTTAAAACTAAGTTACTTGAAACCTGGACACACTTCCATGATTAGCTGGGCTACATCAAAGTAGATTTAGGCCCTAGGAATAAGGGACAAGGTTAGAATTGTTTTTGAAAAGTATACCAAAACCAGATGGCCTGTTATCAGCCAAGTTGCAAAGTAAGGACATAAGGATGGGGTAAGTGAGGGATATTTTCTTCAAGCAAAAACAAAGCCAGGTGATGATGGTGCATGCATTTAATCCCAGCACTTTGGAGGCAGAGGCAGACAGATCTCTACGAGTTCAAGGCCAACCTGGTCTACAGAGTGAGTTCCAAGACAGCCAAGGCTACACAGAGAAACCTTGTCCCAATAAAAAAGAAAAAACAATACATAATTGCTGAAAACTTCTAGTTCACATATTTTTCCCCAAATGGCTGTAGGAATAGGTAAAATCTCTACATGAGCTTCCAAGTCCTGTCTTTGAAGGATCTTGCTGGGATGACTGCTGAAGAGGGTGGCTCCTCAGCCAGGGAATGAAAATGAAAAGTTTATTGCTTTATTTCCATTTCCAAAGGCTGTGACAGTGAACTGAAACTTCACTTGTGTGGACTTTTCTAAGAGATTTCTTCTAGAAACAGACAACTAAGACTCTTCCCCTTGCTAAAGCAATGAAGTTATTTTTCAAAGCACTTGGGAAGTTCCTCTGCCCAGGTGGAAAGGCTCAGAAAAAGGAAGTCTTCTATAC